CTATGCCTGCCACGGCCACCATCTTCTTCATATCCGCCGCCGGCTTTTTTTCTTCTCCGTCCATCTTCACAGTTATCCGGCGGCGGTGGAAAGATTATATAGTCTTTGTATGATGAGCAGAGTTATATATGTGTATATGAAACCTAGCCGCATGAATGCATCTGTTTCGCGTGATTCTGTTCATGTGCGAAAATCTCGCACAAATTCTGTTCATGGATCCTGTGTGAATGATCCAAACAGCTCTACATCTTTTGATTAAAATTCGATTTATAAAACAGAAACTCCGGTTTAATATTATATATATATATAAGGCTCTTGGGCTCAAGCCCAGGATACCCACCAATCTCTCATCTACATTGACTCGCTGCTTTCTCCCTTGTCAGAGGTTACATTTATGACCGCTTCATAAATTCTCACCTGTCAGTAGGGGTGTCAAAATGGTCGGGCCGCCCGACAAAAACCCAAAGAATTATGGGCTGGGTCGGCCTGGCCCGAAATACATGCGGACTTAAAATTTTGGATCTGAGACCCGATCCAATAGGCTTTTTTCAGGTTCGGGTCGGATTTCAAGTTTTTTTTTAATAAAAATAATAACAAAATAAAAATAAAAATTATTAATAAAAATTATCAAAATAGAAAAAAAATTAATATATACTAAAGATAATAAAAAATAAAGTTTTGATAAAAATATTTATTAATATATATGTGAATTTAAGAGAAATTAAAACTCAAATTTTTTAATTTTTATATAATAATAAAATTTATTTTAATATTAGTGAATTAATATGTATATATTTATACATGTATATATATATATTTATATATATCTATATATTTTTATATTATATAATATATAATATATTTATTTTTTCGGGTCGACGGGCCGGGCCGGGCTAGCCCGACCCAAACCCGCACTTTGACCCGCATTTTTCGGGCTGGGTCGACCTGACCCGATGGACGACTGGACTTCAATTTCTTAGGTCCAAACCCATAAATTTTACGAACGGACTCGGACCGGATAACGGACCTCGGGCTTTTTTGAGACCCCTACCTGTCAGTGCTATGTGGATTTGGTAGTTGCATGTTGTCATAATAACATTTGAATTTCTTTTAGATTCGACATTTCTAAAATGGATCCTATCAATTCAACAAGCGTTTGTAGTCCAACGGTTAGGATAATTGCCTTCCAAGCAATAGACCCGGGTTCGACTCCCGGCAGACGCATCCTTTTTGTCTACAAAGAAATTATAAAACGCTGCCGTTTTATCATTCGTAACGACGTCGTTCTCACGAAGCGAACCAGCACCAACAAGGGCGTTATCGTCCAATCAGATATTTATGTATCTGGAATACATACAGAGATTTGTTTCTTAATTTTTTTATATAGGTGTGTGTGGCGTACACGCGCGAATCGCATCGTGTGGCCTAAATTGTTTTGGCCAAATGATTTTGTTCCGGCGAGTGAAGAAGACGCAATCAATCTTCCACTGTTCATGGCGGGTTCTTGCAGCTCGATCAGGCCTCGGTTGCTCGGTTCGTCATCGCCTATGGAGCTTTTCAATCGAGCCGAAGCTCCGGCGTTCTCCGCCCGGATCTCGACTAGGAGCCGCGTCCACGGCGGAGGCGTCATCGCTACGACATACCGAGAGGAAGGTCCGTCGTGCATCTACGTTGGTCCCATTGATTCGGCAAGCAAGGAAACCCTAGAAGCTCTCTACAGCCAAGTAAGCCGACGAATCCTTTCGTTTTTTTTGGTCAATTTTGAAATTCAAATTTGTGTGTGTGTACCCGATTTTTCGCAGATTCTGACATTGATTTTGTCGTATATGTGTACACATGTATGTATACAGTTTATATGCATCTCATGTAATCTCGCGTCCATCAATTTCTCGCCGATGAAGTCAGTTTTATATACTTAAGTTTATGAATTTAGACCTCTGCTTGATGGAGCCTGGGAATGATGAAGATAATTTCTGATGTTTCTGCCGTTTAATGTGTTGGTTTCAATCATAGGCCAGGGATGCATATTACAACGGGAAGCCTCTGATAGTTGACGACATGTTTGATAGAGTAGAGGTAAGATTACCAATGTTCACATGCTTGCACTGATCTGTGTTGAATGTATTCTATCCTGTCGGAGCAAAATATGGTTCTATATTGGTTTCTGCATTTTGGGACTGTTTGTTGCAGCTGAAGCTTCGGTGGTATGGTTCGAAATCTGTCGTCAAGTACCCTCGGTGCAGTCTCTTGCGACAATCAACATATGCCGATGCAGAGGTAATTAATCATCTTTGTCTTCCTCAAGAATTTTTGGTGTTCATGTTTCTGATCAAATAATTCAGAGCAGATTGAGTAAAATTTCCGTTTAATATGGAGGCAGAACTGAAATTGCTTTTTTTATAGACTGGATTTTAGCCTGAATCTCTTAAATTGGAAGCCAAAGTCTTATGAGAAACCGAACCACTGATTGTTCTCAATCATGATTCATCAAGCAGTCTCAATGGGCAAAAACTTATTGCTCTAGAATCCACATTGAACCTCCTAGGATCACATTTCCCCTTTCCATTTTCATTTTCTAGACGATTTGAACCTCAGATATTGAATTTTTGCTCGTGGGCATTTTCTCTATTCTTGTGAAGGATTGATATTGAGATAAATATGTCTGTAGGGCAGGAAGATACATCCCAAGTTTTTGCATTGGCATCCATTTGGATCTTGATTCTCGTATTTGGGAGCTCAGCATGCCTTTTGCCTGCAGTTTACGTCCTCAGCTTAGTCTATGGAGATCCATTTGACTTGGGGATTGCTTATTCTGGCCAATTATATTCCGTGCCCTTCTCTGCTAAGTTGAATGGCATCCTCTTCACGGTTCTAGGATGTGCATTTGGCTCACCCATCGCATCATCTGCAGGTATGACGAGGCTCCCTTTTTCCCGCTTACTATACCAAAACATATGTTGTGGACCTGTCTGAAAATGAAGAGAAAACGTGTTTACTTCGATGGATGTCTAGAGAGATTATTGATATAGTAATGTGGGCCGGAGAAAGCCTGTTTCCAATTCATTTCAACAAGACCGAAAGTTTAAAACAAAAGTCCGCTGGTTTATCACTCAATATACTTAGAACACAAATCCTCTTGCAGTTGGAGTACTTCAGGGGCTATGGAGAAACGACTTAGCGGCTCTCAGAGGAGCATGCCCTAACTGTGGGGAAGAGGTCAGTCCTTTGCTTCTTCTCACCCCTCTCTCCTTATACTGAAATATCATTTACATCTTTCTTGAATCCCATTTCAATGTCCCGGGTATTGATCTTTATCACGAAAGCATTGAACTTGTGCAGGTATTTGCGTTTGTGAGGTCTGATCAATCGAACAGTAACGCACACAGAGCCGATTGTCATGTGTGTGGATGCACCTTAGAGTTCCGTACCAAAGTTGAGGTAAGACAATACAAAACTTCACTTGGACCCATTGTTGCATCGGCCATTATGTAAAAAAAATGTATGAAATCTGGAGCCGATGAATTAACTGTAAAGTTGTGTTTTTGGCGTTCTCCGTCTGGCAGAAAAACGCCTCGCCGTTGGGTAGGAAATGGATTTACGGCAGGATATACCTCGTGTCGCGGCAAAGAAGAAATCGGCGTTCAAAGATGATGTAGACCCTGCAAATACAAAACTTCTTCTCTTGCAAAAAAAGATGCTTTCATGTTGTTTCTTCTTGTATCCTTTTTCCAGACAGAGAGAAAATAAAACCAGATTCAATTGCCGACATAACAGAGTTGGTAATGCTTTCCCGCAGGAGAGTAACATACATCAGTCACAGGACAAACATTTGCAACTGAGAAAAAAAGAATGTTCATTCATATGATCCCTGCTTCTGAAGATTGATTGCCTCGGGGGGTCGGGTAAATGTTCTCGGTAACGTTTCAGAAGTGTGCCAAGCTATAGACGAGAATCCACGCGAGCTGACGAACGGAAAAAAGTTAGGATACGGGTATTAAAAATGTCGGAAAGTTTTGTATTGTGGATTTGGGAAGGTACCAGAAATAGTGTCAATGATGCGAAGAGGCCTTCCTGTAGTAAGGCGGCATGGCCTCCAAAATCTTCCTCGTCCACCTTTAGAATCATCTTGTAATAGCCATACACTATTGCAGAGGATATTGCCAAGAATCTGCATTATGAAAACTCCAATCATCAAACTCCGATAAGCTTTAACCCAACCGAATACAACATATCTGTATCTGAATCGAATCTGACATAAAAACCGAACCCGTATGTTTTCTCTAAAACTTAACTGTGTTCGAATTGGATTTGAAATAAAAACCAAATGGATATAATTTCTCTATAACCGAACTATCGTATCCGAATTAATTCAAAACTGAATACAAAATTTATCGAAAAAACGAACATTTCTTTGACGATAAAATCTAAACTAAACCTGAGTAGAAATCGAACTTAACCGAATTCAATATAAACACTGCACCGTTATGTTTTTTCTAAAACCGAAAATGCTATTTCCTACATCAAACAAGCAAATATTACATGATTTAATGGATCAGAACTATTCCAGTGTTCAAATCTTCTAGAGAAACCTGCAGAACCCGAAGGGGATCGTTTCAATGTAATCAGATCTCACTCTTAAGAAACCGAAGAAGGAACAAATGTACCTTCACACCCTACATTGGATCTACTATGACTTCCCTAACATCCAATCCAAATAGCAAATCATCTTGATTTGCAATGATGAACGGCTGAGAACAGACGAAACCGAGAAAACTTTAGCAGGATCGAGAGATTTCACTTACACGATGATCCACATGCCTCCAACCAGAGGTATGGCTCCGCATATCAATCCGCAGATCAATCCCACCACTTGCCTGATCCAATGCAACACATCTCCCAGTTGATCCTGCACCATCAACAAATCCTTAGTTCCACACATTCGGAACCCAAATCTATTATCAACAAATCCATAATTCCAAACATTCTGAACCCAAAACTATTATCAACAATCCCTAATTCCATACATTCTAAACCCAAATCTATATCAACAATCGTTAATCCTTGTCCACAAATCGATTGAACCCCATGAAGAGACAAAGGGTCTCCTAGAATGTAATGAATTGTTTCATATGACATCCCAAATCACATCCCTTTGGTGGTTTCCGGTAATCTTCTGCAACTTGCAGATAAATTACAACTTGATTCGAGCAAAGTTTTTGCCTTTTTCATGGAATTGGCGAGCGGGTTTCACTAAGAACAACCGGGGAATCTTATCTAAAGCCAAACGAGAATCGACATTGCAAAATACGGCGGAAGAACAACCTTACCTTGTCCCATGAAGCATCAGGATCGAACAATTTCGCAAGTGTCGAAGGAGACAAGTGAACGTTCTGGTGATTATGCTGTTGATGATTCAACTTGGCTGATTTCCCTTCTTTCATCCTCACAAAAAAGATGAAATAAAATTCCGAAATCAAAGCGGTACTCGAAGTTCGAGTTTTTGAAGATCGGAAATCTGGAGCTCCGGTTGCAGAAATTCAGAAAATTCCGGATTTTCAATTAGGGTTCTTCGATCGAGCAAGTGGGATACAAGTGACTGGTTGTGGGCATATTAAACGATTTTGGATTGCACAATGATTGGAGAAAAATAAAAAAAATTAATGTTAAAATAAATAGAAATTAGGAATTCTGACAAAAAGCACGTGATTAGAAGATAATTAATTAATGGTTTCTGTCCCTAATTAACGTGATTAGACGATTAATTTTTAGAATTAGTTAATTTGCAATTACAGTCCCTGACATTTAAGATAATTATAGATCGAACCAGTTTCGCTTTCTAATTTCCACTCTCCTCGTATGTCTTCGTCTCTCCCTGGTCCGAAGCTTCATTTCCGAATTCCGAAGGCGATCGATCGAGTTTCGTATCGTATCCGAAGATATTCGAATTCTGGTTCTTACAGAAGGAGGAAATTCGGAGAGATTGAGAATGGGGAGTCCGAAGAAGAACGAGAGCAAGGGGTTTTTCTCCGCCATGACTTCCGGCTTCTCCATGTTCGGCACTGCCATGTCGAGATCCGTCAACGGGTCAGTTTCTTGAGATCGCATGTTTCTGATTTCGTATGATTTACGAACTTGTTCTGTCTTTGTGCGTAAGCCCTCGAGAAAAAGCTTTTGTCTTCGATTGTTATTCGATGTTCGATTAATCGAATGGTAATCTGTTGACTTTATGATGAAACGTATTGTGTTTCGGATCTCTATTTGATGGCGGAAACTTATTGTTCTTTTTTGTAGATTTGGAATCTTCAGGGCCTTTTCGTTGCATTTGAAATCAGGATTTCATGATCAGTGGATAGTTTTGTTATCAGTTCTAAAAACGCATCTAAACAGTTACAAGTTCTCCAGTAAGTTTTGCTTGTAGGAAAATCGTTATGAAGTGTTAGAGTGATTAGTATCTACCTCAAGCCACTTCTGTTCTGTTGTCTGAGATTGTTTTTGTCAGGGTGCTGAGAAGAACTGTTTTGATCTGGTTTTTGTCGGGCTTATATATTTTACCATTTGTGTTCTGGTTGACGAAATTCGTGTTCCGATGCTTTACCAGAAGAGCATAGCATTCAAAGCTGATTGAATTGTTGTGAAAGCAAATATTCAATTACGGTTCTTTTCTTGCGTGTTCAAATGCATGAATTTGGGTATAGATTGGATAATGGTGTTTAATACTGCAACTATTTCTTGCAGGTTACTTGGTTATGAAGGGGTTGAAGTCATAAATCCAGAGGGTGGCAAGGAAGATGCTGAAGAGGAAGCTCAGAGAGGAAGGTGGAGGCAGGAAGTATGTCTCTGTTCCTCGACTTTTATGATTGTGGCTAACGGGTTCTTTGAAATTTCAGTATGATGTTTACAGTTTATCTTTTGTTCTTAACAGGAACGAGATAGTTACTGGAAGATGATGCAGAAGTATATAGGTTCAGATGTCACGTCCATGGTGACTCTTCCAGTTATTATATTTGAGCCTATGACCATGCTCCAGAAGATGGCAGAGGTCTGTGCTGTTTCTCTGTCATCGAAGATCTGTCCTTTTCTTACACGGGATAACATTTTCAGCATGTTCTTGCAGTTAATGGAGTATTCCCACTTGTTGGACCAAGCAGATGAATGCGAGGATCCATACCTGCGTCTAGTATATGCCTGTAAGCATATACTTACAAATTTCTATTTGACTTCTGACTTAAGGATGATAGTTAATTTCTCGGTGTCGAATGCGATATTGTTCTTCAGCATCATGGGCTATATCTGTTTACTTTGCCTACCAACGAACTTGGAAGCCCTTCAACCCTATTCTTGGGGAGACTTATGAGATGGTCAACCATGGCGGAATCTCATTTATTTCTGAGCAGGTCCAGCGTTGAGATTTTCGGTTTTCTATCAACTGTTCTGTTCATGGATGGGGAACGATGAGAGCTTTACAACATTTTTCTTTTGCTTTTCTTTCAGGTTAGTCATCATCCCCCGATGAGTGCTGGTCATTCTGAAAACGAGCACTTTACTTACGATTGCACATCAAAATTGAAAACCAAATTTTTGGGTAACTCTGTTGATGTTTACCCTGTTGGAAGGTGATTATGATTCCATTCTATAATTGATTTCTGTCTTGCTTTCTGCCATTCCTTTTGATCAGATCCTGTTGAATTTTTTCATCTTTGCTGTTAATATTTCTTATTCTGAGATGCAAATTTTACGTGCCGAGACCAACCTTCTTCCCACTTTTTTCCCCTGATGATAACGCAGCCTGTCTCTTTGGCTTGCAGAACACGTGTGGTCCTGAAAAGAGACGGTGTGGTTCTTGATTTGGTTCCGCCTCCCACCAAAGTTCACAATTTGATATTTGGGCGGACCTTTGTTGACTCACCCGGGGAGATGATAATGACGAATTTGACAACTGGAGACAAAGTTGTGTTGTACTTCCAGCCATGTGGTTGGTTCGGGTACTTAAAAACATATTTCCTTAGCTTACTTACTGTTACTTGAAACTCTTGTCTCCACTCCTCTTTCCCGAATGTGTTCTTGGTTCTACAAAATGTGGCTCCTTTGATTTCAGTGCTGGACGCTATGAAGTGGACGGATATGTTTACAGTGCAGATGAAGAGCCTAAAATAATGATGACCGGAAAATGGAACGAGAAAATGAGCTACCAACCTTGTGATATGGAAGGGGAACCCCTTCCAGGCACGGAACTGAAAGAGGCATGCTTTTACCCTTTTCCACACATATTTTACAGTTTGGGATTCGGTCAAAAGCGAATAGGATCTTCTTGCAGGTATGGCGTGTAGCTGATGTCCCGAAAAACGACAAGTATCAATACACGCATTTCGCTCACAAGATAAACAGCTTCGACACCGCTCCAAAGAAACTCTTGGCCTCAGACTCGCGTCTTCGTCCTGACCGATATGCTCTTGAGAAGGGCGACCTTTCTAAAGCTGGAACCGAGAAGCACAGGTACATTTCATTACAGTTTTATCTTCTTCTAGATGGTCTTGTCTTTGGAAATAACAAGAAAACCGCCAAACTTTGCAACGTATTGTGAATCAAACGCTGAAAATTTCTATTGTAAGGCATGCATTCAGAGCACATTGAACTCTAGGTTCAAAGCTCACACGTAAGGGGTGGGCATGGGTCGGGTGTTCGAGATTTTCGGGTTATCCAAACACAAACACAATTGTCTTGGGTCTCGCAAGACTACCTGATCTAGGATCCGTGTTTGTTAGGTTCTCGATTTGAGGTCATTTTTTTAGTATCTGAATCCGAATTTAAACACGAAATTTCAAAACTTTCAAAAATATATACTATATTAGGAGTAGGCTCGGGTTGGGTACCCACAAATGCCAATTTACTGTTCGTTCAAGTACGCTGACGTGCCTTTTTTATCGCCATTTTCGTCGCAGTCTGGAAGAGAGGCAGAGAGCGGAGAAGAGAGCACGAGAGGAGAAGGGCCATCAGTTCACTCCGAGATGGTTCGATCCGACGGATGAAATCACGGCTACGCCTTGGGGAGATCTTGAGATATACCGATACAACGGGAAGTACACAGAGCACCGAGCCTTGGCGGACACCTCGGGGGAAGAGGCCAATGCCAATTCCGTCGAGTTCAACCCGTGGCAATACGGTAACGTATCGGCGGAATGACGTAGGCTTTTGATGATCACATAGTGTCTCATCTATTGAGGAATGAGTTATATGGCATGGTCATGGTTTTAACTCTTGCTTTGTTGAATCTGATTTATGTTGTCTTCTTGTAACATCAAGTGTGTGATATTGTGTTTCACATCTTCTTCGCCTATGGAACTGAATAATCTCAGTCGGATCTCAGATGTCGATTATGTTTTGTTTTTTCTTTATATTTGTTCAATAAAATTATAAAATTAAAATTAAATTTTTTTAAAAAAAAAATCAGAGTACGCGCGATTAATAAAAACATTAATTTAAACACTTCATTCAACTATACCAAGTTTATACCCACACGTACGATTTCATAAAAATCTCATATGATAAGCATATATTAACTAACTTAGCATTTTTTAATCATAAAAACACTGAACGAAAAAAGTCGTTTTATTTATATTAAGAAGCCATCTACTGATATTATATAAAATGATTTTTTTTTTATAATTAGAAGGTTTGACGGGCATTCGATCCACTTAATCCCTAAACTCGAAATCAGTCTCTAGTCATACAATTAATTGCATCCTCTCATCCCCACTAGTGGAATCGAATCCATAACTTTGTTTTCTCTCCATCACTGGACCACCGGCTAGTGGGTTATATGAGACGATTTTGTGTATTCATCGCAAGCTTTTTGTAATGTCATATTTTTTAAAAAAAAGAGACGTACTAAAATAAGTAAACAATTCAATAATATGCAATTTTTGTACGTCAAGCACAAACGCACACAACAAAGAGCAAGAAGCTAACATTGCAATCGTATTATTGATATATTATAATCCTCAACAAAAAAAAAAAGATATATTATAATCTTATCCATTTGAGGAGGAAAGAAATAAAAGAAAGGATATGAGGTGAGTGGTTTTGGATTTCTGTCATGCGAACATCACAAAAACGAAAACGAAAATATTAAATATTTCCAGTTTTCTAAATAATAATATTGTATAAATAAATCCTAACAGATAACGTATCCAATATATATGTATGTATATATATATATATCTATATGTTGTTTCACTCGTAAGCTTATATATAGAACGAAAATCCTTGTCAAAGAACCAGTCTTAATTAGTAATACTATTATATTGGGCATTTTAAAAAAATATCATTTTGAGAATTTTCTTCAGCTATGCACAGTTCAATTAAATATTTATTATATAGTTGTGAAAGCAATTATAAACCCCAAATAGATACGGGACTATGCAAATGCCAATAGGTGTTTTTGTTTTTTCTTAATTTATACTTTTATTATTTATGTGAAAAAAGAAACAAATTCTTTGGTTATTAATTTATAATTTTATATTTGTTTTCCTTCGGCCCGCTTCCGATAATCATCCCTGTCAAAATATGGGCCCTCATACGTGGGCCATAACGTCTCTCTTATCCCCCAAACTTAACGCCGTTACGTGGAACTCGAGCCGTCAGGCGTCAACGTTATTTTCAATGAAGATTCTTTTCACGCCGTCAAAGTTCGACGTTGTGGAGAGTGTTTTGGGAAATGACTGAAAAAGCGACCAATAGGAACGCTATGCTCGTCCACGTAGGAGAGAGAAACTACGATGACAAAAATGCCATCGCTTTTAGATCTGAGAGAATACGTGCCGTCCGATGTAAGCAACCAAGATAATTGCAATAACAAATATAGATTTTTTTCCCGATGAAATACAAATATAGGTATCACTTATACCTTTTTTTTTTTCAAATTTAGCTTTCTTTTTTTTTTTATTATTTACGATTACTTTACAGAGTAAAAAAATGTAAAAACCATTAGTATTATACAAACAATTGGTCCTGCATTTTACGCGTTTGCTACAGCATTTGTTTTGATATTATTGATAGTGTTATCTTATGCATTTGAAAATTAATACCCATCGGTCCATTTTATATTATTAAGATGATTATGGCATACGCCCAAACTGTTATATACAATACAGACACATACGCAATTGTAGCCCTAACATATGTGAAATATTACTGTTATTATTTCAAATATTATGGGAAGTGGATATTGATCGATCGACATTATAGGAAAAAAACCCATAAAGAAGCATGAACGAATATTCTGATATATAGAAAGCGAATAACGTGATAACTCTTCAAGGAGGAAAAGAAGGGTATAAAACATATATATATATATATATATATATTCACATATACATGAAAGTAATAATACCAGAAATATAAAATAAAATAGAAAAATATGTATTTATTGAAATTAGGCGAGGGGGGGGGAGGGGAGCCATGTGATGGGTACATCTGTGCCACGTGGCGAGATCTGAGGGCTGAAGAGTGCCATCGTGGGGAAGAACCGGGTCGCTAGGTGAAACGTTCTACCGGCTATAGCCGGTGAACAGAAGAGTGTTACCGGTAGATCCGGTGGATGGGTCAATAGTATAAGGGGCTTATTGGGGTTTAAGCAAAAAGGCCTGGTGGTTTTCCGAAGGGTTTTTGTTTCTGGAAAGAGGAGAGAGAGAGAGAGATTGAGATTGAGATTGAGATTTGGTCGTGGTGAGAGAATTCGTATGGTTAGCGTTTGAAACAAGTAAAAATTTTCCGTCACTTTCTCGGTAAAACATGGGTTAGAGGAACAGATGGGTAAACGTTTGGTGTGAGGGCCGTGGAGAATTCAGATTCCTTTGTTTCCGTCTGCGAATTTGCTTTCTTTCTTTCTTTCTTTTTTTCCGATCTCGCATTTGCCGGAGAATTCGCCCGTGTTTCTGACTTTTTTTCGAGTAATCGTCTGGAAATTGAGGATTGGGGTATTAAAGGTGAGTAATTGGAAGCTTTTCATGGGTTGTCTTGTCGAAATTGTCGAAAGGCTCTTTTTTGTTTGGTTACCGAGAAACTGTTGGAAATTTGAGGAAAGTTTTCGTTTTCATAGAAAGTTCGGTGGTAAAAGTGCCCGAGAATTCTCAAATTTTCATGTTTGAGTCTCGTCCTTTCTCCGTCGCCTTCGTGGGTTTCTTGCTATCTATCCACAATTCCATCTTGGATGAAGTCCGATCTGTGAAACCCGATCTTAGATTTTGAACTGTGTGATCTGTTGTCCTGAGCTTTCATTCGGTCCCTAGATCGATGCTTTTTTGTCTAGAGCTCAATCCTGATTTACGTTTCTGTTAAGGTTTTGGGATCTTCCTGTGGCCAAATTGCCGGAAACGTATTGGGCTCTCGATTTTCGGGTAACCTGTTCTTTAGGGTTTTACTGTGGTTTAAGCTAATTTTCTCTGGGCGAAGGGACATTGCTTGAAAACATAATACATACGTAAATACATTGAAGTTTGAACAAATGAGAAATGTTGGAGATTTGTCCTTTTTAATGTTCATCTTCATGTTCCTTCATAAGTTGCCTTTGGGTTGCTTCCAAATGACAGATCTTGCTGACGAACTATTCCAAGTTCTCAATTTTTTTTATAGGGTCATTCCGAGTTTCTGTTGTTTTGGTCTGATGAACAGTTTGGTGCACATCAGTGTATAAGATTCATAGTCTGTTTGGGCTAATTTAATGTGTGAAATTGATCTTTCTTGGTTTTCATATAATTCGCCCTGGTTTATAGTTACAGGTACGGTGATTGATTGCTTCATTCGAGTTGGCAAAACTGGTGGTAAGCAGTTGGAAAGTCAGGCTTCTCGCTTGTGGCGATTGTGGTATTTTGGTATGCATCTCGGGAAATGGTATCACATAAGAGGTTAGAATTTGGAGACAATGGCTACCGGTTACCTGCTAATGCACGAGCACGCAGATCTGCTCGGGTAAAAGCTCTATATTTGACGTATTTTGCTTTCGATTGTGACAAATTCGCCATTGTTTCTTGGATGGATGATTCATTTATTTAATGACTTGCATTGTTCGTTTGCTTTTCTTCAGAAGAAGCGTATCTTTGAGAAGAATTGTGGAGATGATAGAATGCGTGCGTTTGACTTATTGGCAACTGTAGCCGGAACGTTGCTGCTTGAGAGCGGGAATTTCCAGTCGGCTAGCGAAACCCCGATCATTGGGAGCAAAGAAAAGTGTTTAGCTCTACAAAATACCGTAAAGAATGAATTCCCAGATGAAGAGAAGCCCGTAAAGGTGGAAAGTTTCTGCGGAGACAAACATTTTACAGGAGCCCCGAGTTCATGTGATGATGTCCATTGTGGACCCAGCTCCGCTATAACAAACCCTGATGATTCTTTGATGATTGAAAACCTCGAGAATGCAGTGGAGGGTTTGGGTAACTCAGATCGTAGTGATTCATGTGAAGTTGGAAGCTTTGATCAGGGATTTAAACCTGATGTCAATGGCGATCCAGTAGTTCTGGAAGTGAAACCTGATGTTGTAGTTAGTTTAGGAGGTAGTAGTAGTATCCCCGAACTGCCAGTATGTGGGAAAGATGTTTTCCATGGCTCTCGGGATGATGTAAATTTAGTTAGTAGAGATGATGATGAAAACTTCTCAGGGTACAGCCACCGTAGTACGACCAAGAGATCATGTAGGCATGTGCCGCGCATTGGAGACAGAAGAATCAGGAAGATATTGGCTTCTAGATATTGGAAAGGAGGAACGAAAAATGCTGGTAATGATCTCGTCTAGGGTTCTTGATTTTCCTCGCAACTTGAATAAATATGGTGAATGATTATGTGGTGAACACGTGCTTGGTTTTGCAGATGTGAAGCCCTGGTATTCTGCAAAGAGAAATTATTACTTGCACCATCAGAGGAATTATCCTATCAAGAAAAGGAGATACTTTGACTACATTTCTGAATTGAATTCTGATGATTATAATCTGGCCCGAAAGATGGGTAGGGGTAAGCTGATTTGGCTCTTCTAAACCATTACCGAGATCTTGTAGCTCTTATCTAATGTGATTCCTACAAACCGATTTGCAGGAAGCCGAACAATTTCTTCATTGAAATGTCAGAATGGGTCGTATGTATCAAGGGACTCTCATGGTAACAATGAATCTCTGATTCTTATCCAAGCGTTATTTTGTTATACTAACATATCAAGATGCTTTTTTCGCTCAGTGAGGATGCGGATAAAGTCTTTTAGGGTTCCCGAACTTTTCATAGAGATTCCAGAAACTGCAACTGTTGGATCCCTGAAGGTAAATGACAATTCCCGGCCCTTTTTTTTCACATAAAGGTCTAATCTTTTCTTGATTCACGTCTTGCTGTTCCCTTGAAGATCTTAAAATAATAATATTGACTCTGTTGTTGAATTATTCCTCACCCTTTTCTGTTACCTTGTCCTTCATTCTGCAGAGAACGGTAATGGAGGCAGTGACCAGTGTACTGGGCGGTGGTGGAATTCGTGTTGGTCTGATGCTTCAGGGAAAGAAAGTCCGAGATGACAGCAAAACCCTTCTTCAGACAGGAATCTCTCAGGACAATACCCACTTAGACTCTCTGGGTTTCTGCCTTGAGCCAAGCTCTGAAGCCTCCCCTCTTCCCTGCCACACTCCTCTGCCCTTGACCAGGTTAGACTCTTCTATCCCCAAATCAAGTCACTCCAATGATAAAAAAGTTTCAATCTTTTGAATGAAGCTTAGGGTCTGATTCTCTCTCTCTCTGTCTGCCAGATACCCACCAGTGGACACCATATCTCATCTGCATGGCTGTGATGATCATGTGGGTAATATGTTGGACTCTGTCCTTGACTCGGTTGCATGCTCTTCTGATTCGTATGGTGAAAAGAGCGGAAAAGATGATTCTAGAGCTTTGGTTCCTATGGAGGAGGCACCGGCCATGGCTCCCAGGTCGGTAACCGCATTGGCCCCTCGGCCTCCAAGCCGTAAATCAAAAAGGGCTGAGCAGCAGCAAGCTGCACATCGCAGAATCCGTCGACCTTTCTCTGTTGCTGAAGTAGAGGCATTGGTTCAGGCTGTTGAGAAACTCGGAACCGGAAGGTAAAAAAAAGAATTGGAGCGGCAAAGACAGATTCCTCCTTGGTATTTCTGACTTTTTCTCTGATTCTTGATTGAAATCTGAAAAGCGCAGGTGGCGAGACATAAAGCTCCGAGCTTTCGAGAATGCGGATCATCGTACCTATGTCGATCTGAAGGTTCGTATCAAAACTTTCTCCATATAGTTTACTCGTTTCACAAAATCACTTGAAAGTTTCGAGGCATGGTGGGGTGTTGACAGGATAAATGGAAAACGCTGGTGCACACGGCGAGGATAACGCCGCAACAGCGAAGGGGAGAGCCCATGCCGCAGGAGCTTCTGGACCGAGTTCTGAACGCTCACTCGTACTGGGCTCAGCAGCAGCAACAGCTAAAAGCAGCAACAGCCGCCATGTGAATCTTGCAGTTTCCTCTCTGTGTATTATTATTACAACTACTGTAATGTTATATGATCCTCTGTAAAATTCCTAACATAGGAGTGTGTGGTCTGCTCTTCGTTTGGGGTTATTTTTTTGGTGTACATTTTAAATTGGAATAAAGAGCGTTTTCTAACGCGGATTTGTTGCAAATTGTTTTGTCACATTCACATGTCTTTTCTATTTTTTATTTTCACAATTAGATTTTTTTGAGATTTGAATTTCTTCGTTTATTTTTGGACGTCAGATCAGATTCATGCTTTTCAGATTGTATGGCGTTCGACGTGTCCAATCCAATTGGGGACAGAAAAGCGGTGGCGTTTGTGTCCGCGGTAGACGTTCTGCGATTAGTAACGCTAAGCGGTTAAAACGCTGTTCCCTAATCTGCACTGTTCCGAAATTACCCTTTCCTTCTCCGTTAATCTCCATATTACCTTAATATATGGCGGAAAAATAGGAAAGAGGAAGAGGCACATGAACCCTAAACATTTCGCCACGACCAACCCTCAGACAGATTCTCTTCCAAACCTCGGTGAGTTATGTTCTTCTCTTCTTCTTTTTTTTCCATCCTCTCTCTTCGTTGCTCGATTCTTTTGGGAGCTTTCTTCCCCTCTCTTCTTAGCGGAAACAGTGTTGTTGCTGCTTCTTAAGATCGATTGTTCTTCGTTTGGCTGGGCAATGCAGATTTGAAATCGTCCGAATGAGTGATGTTTTCTTTTTTTTGGTTGGAATTATAGTAGAGCAGGCTCTAGCAGGAAAGGGCATGACCCGGGCTTGCTCGTTTTTGGGGTTTAAGGCTTTGTAAGTATACCGATATACTCTTCCATGCGGTTTTTGCGCTTAAAGTTTTGACCTTTTGAGTTTTGTGATGTTGCCCCTCGTTGTTTACGTTGCTCTCTTGAATCAAAGGAGTGTGTAGTGCAGAGAATTCTGAGAACGAAATTTATCGTGAGATTTGGAGAGTACCATTTTAAGTGTGCTTTAGATTTGAACCAAACTGTCCTAGAAAATTTTGGATTTGAACTTTATGTTTTGTGGTCTTTTGGCCCTCGTGATTGCTATTTGGATTTACCTCATCTGATAGACGTGTGTTAGTTTCTAGAAGGTTTGGATCCCCGGCAGTGCGACATTCCGTGAACTATTCCTCACAACCCCTCAAGTACTCAAACTCGTCTGTCCGGATGGAGAATTGCAACTCTTCTGGTCTCAGATGTGGGAGTAGTGAGCCAAGAGGCGCCTTGATTGTTCTAGAAGGACTAGATCGTAGTGGCAAGTCGACACAATGTACTAAAGTTGTCTCTTTCTTGGAGGGTTTGGGACATTCGGCTCAGTTATGGAGATTTCCGGATAGAACCACGAGTGTTGGTCAGATGATATCCGCATATCTCTCGAATGAATCACAGTTGGATGATCGCACAATCCATCTTCTATTCAGTGCCAATCGATGGGAGAAAAGGTTCTTTTATCTATCTATCTCATTGTTGTCTCAATATAACCTTTAGATTGGATTGATGTAGATTGTCAGAATTTTCGTACACAAATTTTGTCGAAATGCTTAGTTCACATGGCATCTATTCTCTCTCACATATGCTGTTTGGCATGTCGAGAATCCAGGTCATTGATGGAAGAAAAACTAAAAACTGGCACGACCCTTATTGTTGATCGCTACTCTTATTCTGGTGTGGCTTTCTCTTCTGCTAAAGGACTCGATGTTAATTGGTGCAAGGTAAAGGCTTCAGATTTTGCCCGTGTCTTTCACCTTTTCTCATTGATGTATCTGGGTTTGTGTATTTTTTCGCAGTCACCGGAGATTGGGTTACTGGCTCCAGATGTGGTACTTTATCTTGACATTTCACCTGAGGTTAGTAGAGATGATAAATGACTTAGAGAGGAATTTATGTGCTAAATTCATCCTAAAGGTGATGACTTTAAGGATTGATTAATGAACTCTGATCCTTGGATTTTCCCTGAGAAATATATGTTCACTGTTTTTTGTTGTGTTTGTGATTTCTGATTCCTGAACACTTAAAAAATGATCAGAAAGCTGCTGAAAGAGGTGGCTATGGAGGTGAGAGGTACGAGCAGCTAGAATTTCAGAGAAAAGTTGCAGACGTCTACCGAACTCTCCGCGATTCATCGTGGAAGGTAAAGGATTCTTCGGCTACAATAACTGGATAGGCCATTGCAGATGAGATCAGTCTGTTACTGATACTGTTTTGATGTTCATGTTCAGATAATAGATGCAAGCCAGAGCATGGAGGACGTGGAGAAGCAGCTCCAGGAAGCTGTGTTAGACGAAGTTAAAGAGTGTAAAACAGGAAAGCCCCTTTCTCCCCTCTGGTCAGCCTGAAGCTCCCTCTCGGCGTTTTCAACTCACGATTTGCATTCATTATAGTTTTTTTTTTTCAAGTTAAGTGGAAAAAGCCCAATTTTCACTCGTTGGCCCAAGCCCAATATTCACACAAGGTCAGGCCCATTATATACTTTTAAGCCCAATTATTAAAACGGCACGAAGTCCATTTGAAGCCAACACCTTGTTTACGTCACATGCTGGGCCTCTTTAAGTCCATTTGAAGCCCAATAAATTTTGTTTGCGTCATGCATGACGTATTCACGCATAAAATAGTTTTTTTTATTAACATTAAAGCTTGAATCTAATCATGCAGGGGCTTAAGTATTTTAAATACATTTTTATTTAATTACATAATAAAGTTCGTGAAAGGTCGTAAGCGATTAAATTAATGTATCTGGTCATCTTAAATAATTTCTAAAAACCTATCACACTGCATTATGTGTCGGAATGCCCCACCAAACAAAAAAAACTACCATTGTAATGGTAACTTAAAATTGTTGTATTTTTTTTTATAATGCAGAAATTCATCGGGCCTTTGGTCCGATTATATCTTCCAGAGGATCGGGAAACAAATCGCTGTATTTTATTAACAATAAAAAGTTAAAAAAAATATTATTAAGAAAAAACAAGTTCCTCCAAACACAGAAAGCTGATTATAAGAAAGACCATTGACCATTGACCATTGAATGTATGTATATACACATGTCTAGAAAATGATGCAAGAGACAAGTATATGTATACGTGTGTGTGTGAGAGTAATTTATACGTATGGGAGAAAATTACAAAAAATAATAATTAATTTAATAAATTTGGCAGAGAGGATGAATCTGGATAACCAAGTCGCCTTCATCTTGATTGTTTTGCTCCCTCCCCTTTGACTATCAAACCCAACAAACAAATCTCAGACATTTTCTGATTAGCCTATTTGATCAAATGAAGTATTTGAACGGTGTGAGCTAACCGATTTTGCAGAAATTGAAATTCAACTAATTTATTATTTCCATAAATAAATTGAAAGATTTTTTTTTTTCTTTCGTCACCTCAGACAGTTATATTTCGGTATTTGACACCACGTTTCTATGTATTATAGAGGAAATTATGGTGCGAATATATGATTATAAGGAATCTGATGGGGCCTCGTTCCTTTTGAATTTCTGACTCTACAATGAAACATGGATAAGTGCTCTTTTTAAAAAATATTATTTATGTGTATATATAGATGTGTGTATATGTATTGTTGAATAATAAGATTTGGTAAACAGTCTTTTCTTCCTTCACCCAAAATCTTTGCCCAATTCCTTGGCCAGCAAGATCATCATCCCTCCTTAAAAGAACATTTACTTGAAGACAAAAAAAATAACAAAGTTTATGTCTCATGTGACTAAGATAAGTCTCAGAGATGTACTGACCTTTGTTGTCTCTCTCTGTCTTGTCTGAATCCCATCCACATTCATGAAAGTTCTTTCTTTTTTTCCCTGTCAGCAAAAAAAAAAAAAAGGTAAAGAAGGGCAAGACACATCTCTCACTCTATATATCAACATCTCTTAACTGTGTGTTCACATGACCATGTAACCGAAAAAAGAAATCCAATAGAAAAGTGCTCGGCCTCGTCTCCTCTTCTTTTGACATTTTCTTTTCGGTGGGTTTTTGTTTCTGCCATGGATGCTCTTCTTGAGGTATCCATTGACGAGTTCCGCTTCGAGAACGGGTCGGGAACTTGCTGCAATCCCATGAACAGTTCTCTCACCTGTTTCCGCAAAGCCCAACACGACAACCCTCCTCCTCCCTCTGGTGATTCGCCTGTCTGTTTGGAAGATTTTCCTGTTCTCAGTTACATCAACCACATGTTGATGGAAGAAGATCTCGATTGCCATCACTCTTTCAACTTTCATGACAGTTCTGCCCTTCAAGCCGCCGAGAGATCCTTCTACGAAGCCCTCCACGACCAATCCGATCAAACCCCTGGTCTTTCCGACCAATCCGATAACTTCACCGGAAACTTCAGCACAGCAAGTAGCTCGCATCAACCGGCTTCAGGTCTTACTGGGTCGCCTGAAAGTGTTCTGTACGGGGAATCACAGAGAAGGTATCATCGTAGGGATGATGATAGCCTTGAAAATGGCCGAACAAAGAAGCAACCTGCAATATCATTTGAGATGGAGATGGCAGAAAAGTTCGAGGACGTACTCTTGTTGTGCACAGGGAGGCATCATGACCAAGAATCATCACCACACTCGCCGGAAAATCAGAGTCACAAGAACAGAGCCGGACGAGCAAAGGGCTCGTCGAACCGGTCCCGGAGGCTAAATCCCGAGCCCGTCGATCTCCGGAATCTCCTGATGCAATGCGCTCAAGCCGTGGCGAGTTTTGACAACAGGACAGCGACAGAGAAACTGAAAGAGATAAGATCACACTCAGAAAGGCATGGCAATGGAATGCAGAGATTGGCCTTTTACTTCGCGGAAGGGCTTGAGGCTCGTTTTGCTGGATCCCCAGAGACGCCACCAGTGTTTTATCCACATCCTTGCGTCAGAACATCAATGGTGGATACCTTGAACGCTTACAAGGTGATGGTTCAGGCTTGTCCCATCAACAAAATGTCTTACCATGTCGCTAACAAGACAATCTTCCAACTTGCTTCGAAAGCAACCAGGCTTCACATCATCGATTTCGGGATTCTCTACGGATTCCAATGGGCTTGTCTGATACAAGCACTGTCCAACCGACCAGGTGGACCACCATTACTCCGCATAACTGGTATCGAGCTTCCACAACGGGGATTCCACCCGTCGGAACGGGCAGAGGAGACTGGTCGGAGATTGAAAAGGTTCTGTGATAGATTCAACATCCCATTTGAGTACAGCTTCATAGCAAAGAAGTGGGAAACCATCAGTCTCGATGAACTAGTGATCGATCGAGAAGAGACAGCGGTTGTCAACTGCTTGTACCGGCTCCGTTACACTCCAGACGAAACCGTGTCCATGAACTCTCCAAGAGACATGGTTCTGAAGCTATTCAGAGACATCAATCCCGACCTCTTTGTCTTCGGAGAGGTTAACGGGATGTACAATTCTCCCTTCTTCGTGTCGAGGTTCCGAGAAGCGCTCTTCCATTTCTCGACAATCTTTGACATGATCGAGACAACAATGCAAGCAGAGGATGAGTACAGGACGTTGTTAGAGAAGGAGCTGTTCATGAGAGATGCTGTGAATGTGATTGCCTGTGAAGGGGCAGAGCGGGTAGACAGGCCTGAAACTTACAAGCAGTGGCAAGTTAGGACAATGAGAGCTGGCTTCAAGCCTGTCAAACTGAGCAGAGAGATCACGGAAGAAGCTGCGGAGATGGTGAGAAAAGGGTTTCATAGGGACTTTGTGATTGACACTGATAACCACTGGCTGTTTCAGGGCTGGAAAGGAAGAGTCATCCACGCTCTTTCTTGCTGGAAACCTGCGTAGAAGTTGACAAATCAATCTTGTAACCACTAGAAAACATAAATTCGTAGATCCTTCCTGGGATTTGCTCTTTCACATAGCTGTAGTGTAATGCGTCTTTTTTACCCAATGAGAGTACATCTTTTTTTTTATCCATTAGATTGCATCCAAAACTAGAAATCATTTAGATGATCTTATGTTGGAACATCTTTAGAATATCTTGGGTGTTTTTTGTATGATATCATAATTATCATTACATTGTTAAATAATAAAAAGGAGTTTGGTAAAGCATGTCTTTCTTCATTCACCCAAAATCATTGTCCAATTCCTCAGGCCAGGTAAAGACTCCTACTTACTTTTATGACTATTTTCCCCACTTCTTAATCATTTTCCTTAGGTGGATGACAAAGATTCATAAAAATCATAAAATGCAAAAATAAATTGGAAAAACAAGGCTTGTTTGGGCACAGAAAAACAAGGATATCTTGTTAGTTTCAAAAGCAATAAATGTTTCAAGAAAATATAACTGAATCTCGCAAAAAACGAAAAGAGCAAAGCTTCCGATTATCCCATCAAGATTTAGAAAGCTTTCAATGTTTTTCTCCTTCATGGGCAACACTTTATATCACTAACTTTGACCATTGACCCAGCTGACCAGTCAACAGCACAGTACTTATTACTACTAGTCCTACTAGATAAGTCTTCGACATTTACTACTGACCTTTTATGTCGGCGGTAGTTGTTGTGTGTCTTCGCCCATCGGCTTTCCACGAAACTTCAAATTTTCCCTGAAAAAAAATACAGAAAAAGAAAAAAATATATATACATATATATATATATAGCAACGATCATATATTATTCCCATCTGTGTTCACACTACATGAATCTTAGCAAAAAGATTTACCAGAAAAGTCAGCTTGACCTCTCTTTCATTTTTCTGCTGTCGAAAAAAAAAGTCTTTCTTTGTTTTCCACCACTTCTTCTTTGGTGAATCTTTTTAGGGATTTCTTCTGCCATGGATGCTCTTCTCCAAGTATCCGTTGATGGGTTCAGATTGGAGGAGTCGGGTCCTTGCTGCAAACCCAGGAACCCTCAGGAAACCGGGAACGATTCTTTTATGTGTTTTCGCAAACCCGAATCTCAAAATCCTTCCTTTGACAATTCTGCAGCAGGTTCAGACGATTTTGTTGTTCTCAAGTACATCAACGACATGTTGATGGAAGAAGACCTTGAAGGGCAATCTTGCATGTTGCAGGACAGTTTGGCCTTACAAGCCGCCGAGAGATCCTTCTATGAAGCCCTCCACGATCAATCTTCACCCTCGGATCAGAACTCCAATGATCAATCACATGATTTCGCCGGAAACTTCACCACACCAAGTGGCTTACACCAGCCGACTCTGGCCTTTACCGACTCCCCTGAAAACGCTGATTCTGCATATATTCTGTATGGGGAGTCACAAAGAAGGTACCGTCCAAGGGATGATGACGACCTTGAAAATGGCCGAACAATCAAGCAACCTGCCATTTCTTCGGAGATAGAGCTGTCGGAAAAGTTCGAGGAGTTACTATTATCCTGCACAGGGAATAACCAAGAAACATCACCAAACTCGCAAGCAAATCATAATCACGAGAACAGAACCAGAAGGGCGAAGGGCTCATCATACCGTTCCCTAACCCAGAATCCCGAGTCAGTGGACCTGCAGAGCCTCCTGATGCAGTGTGCACAAGCTGTAGCAAGTTTCGACCACAGGACAGCAACAGAGAAACTGAAGGAGATAAGATCACACTCTTCTAGATATGGTGACGGAACCAGGAGACTGGCATTCTACTTCGCAGAGGCACTGGAATCTCGCATTGCAGGAACCCAATCACCACAATTGTTCTCTAAGCTTCCTAGCAGCAGAACATCAATTGTGGATATCCTGAAAGGATACAAGCTGTATGTTCAAGCTTCTCCCTTCAACAAAATGTCTTACTATGTTGCAAACAAAACAATAGTTGAGCATGCATCAAAAGCAACCAAGCTTCACATCATTGATTTCGGGATTCTCTATGGCTTCCAATGGCCTTGTCTGATACAAGCCCTGTCACGCAGGCCAGGTGGACCACCAGTACTCCGGATAACAGGAATTGAGATGCCGCAGCCTGGCTACCGTCCGTCCGAGAGGGTTGAGGAGACGGGTCGGCGACTGAAAAGGTTTTGTGATAAGTTTAATGTTCCGTTCGAGTACAACTTCATAGCCAAGAAATGGGAAACCATCAGTCCTGATGAGTTAGTGATTACCAAGGAAGAGACAACGGTTGTCAATTGCGTATACCGGCTTCGTTATGTCCCAGATGAAACTGTGTCCATGAATTCTCCAAGGGACATAGCCCTGAAGCTATTCAGAGACATCAATCCTGATCTATTTGTGTTTGCAGAGGTTAACGGTATGTACAATTCCCCATTCTTCGTGACAAGGTTCCGAGAAGCACTCTTCCATTTCTCATCACTCTTTGATATATTCGAGGCCACAACACAAGAAGAGAATGAACACAGAACGTTGGTGGAGAGGGAAATATTCGTGAGGGATGCTATGAATGTGATAGCCTGTGAGGGAGCCGAGCGGATTGAGAGGCCTGAAACCTACAAGCAGTGGCAGGTTAGGGCATCAAGAGCCAGATTTAGGCCAGTTGAACTAAACAAAGAGATTATGAAGGAAGCAAAGGAGATGGTGAGAACAGGTTACCACAAAGACTTTGTGATCGACACAGATCGCCATTGGATGTTTCAGGGCTGGAAAGGAAGAGTTCTCTATGCTCTTTCCTGCTGGAAACCTGCGGAGAAGTGAAACATTCCTGCAATCATTCGAAATATATCGCCTTATGGTCACTCTGTAGCTTCTTCCCATGATTTTGCTCCCCTGGATGCATTTCGAATGTATCTCCTTGTTCCCTGCAAGGACACCTTCTATGATAATCACAGATCGGGATATTGTAAAAGTAGACAATACAGCTTCACTTGTAGGACTAAAGGTTACGTAAGTATCTCTTACGGCAGCGAGAATTAACCGCTTAACTTTGTGAAAATTCAAAACTTTGGATACAATTTTTATAAGATGGGTTTGAACACCACGTAAATGATGATACAGACATCCAAAACAAAAGATCGATAAGCACATAAGAACCGATATGAGCTAACTGTGAACACGTTTTGCGGCTAGCTAATATGAACCCTTTCAGTTTTGAGGTTTCGGTGGCTTCAAAACACTCCAATCCACCTTGCCCCCCTTCGGCCGCTTAAAACCTGAGCTTCTTCTGTTGCTAGGGGATGATTCTTGACCACTTTGAAGATTTCTTGGGGACTTCTTAGGGTGTTGCTGTTCAGGCACAGTCTCGGATTGTTTTCTTTTCAAATCACCATTGGCTTCCTGACTCGGCTCAGCCTTCAAACCCGCTGGTTCATTGAGAGAGGATGTGTTCTGACTGGTGACAGTTCAGAAATGTAAAAATTAAAACGAGAAACAATAGGCCAGTCAATTGACTCCATAGCTATTACTAAGATGATAAGATTCATTCTTGTCTAATGATTAGATGATGAAATAAAATCTCCCCCTCCATTTTCCGAACTCAAGCATTATTCTGGAATATCGTATACTTGCACAGGACATAAATCCACATAAAGTAAAAGAGAACAAAAGAGGAAAAGGAACATACCTAAAAGACATTCTTCCTCCATTGCTGCCAGAAGTTGTGACGGTAGAATCTGTTTTTCGGTCATTTAATGCTTCTTCATTCAATTTCTACCCAGCCCAGACACAGCTTATGTCAGCGTACTAAAGTCGTGAACATCAATAGCAAAACTCTTTGGACCTCTAACAGCGTTTACACTCACATCGATAGAAGGATTGAAAGACTGGAATGACATGCGCCCAACCAAAGCTCCTGGCTGAGGATCCCCTTCCATTATGACCACACTAAGCCAAGGGCACAAAAACATGTAGTAAAACTATCATTCAACAGATAGTCACTAACTGCGCATTGACGGATAAAACATTACAAAGACATACGGTTTGATCATTGCCCATGAACAAAGAGAAGGAAAATAAAAGGGGAAATTGACTAGTGATGCAAACGGATCTATCAGAAGCCTAAAGCAGAGCAAAGCAACAAGAGCAAATACCTAGAATTGCTTAAAGATGAGAATAACAAACAGATGACACGGCGTCCATACAACAACAACAACAACAACATCGCCTTAATCCCAAGTTTATTTGGGGTCGACCGCATGAATTCATCTTTTCCATTCATTTCGGTTTTGATTCATATTCTCCGATATTTGCAACATATCCAAGAACATTTCTAATCACTCGTTCCCAAGTAAGTCTAGGCTTGTCCCTTCCTCGTTTCTTCACTTCCATCCATCCTTATACTCTCCAATTTTCTAACCAGAACATCTAGCGGTCTACGTTTTACGTGTCCAAACCTCCTTAAACGTCTAATTGATTAAACAATGAATAACATCAAAGTGGAAAAGATATACTACCACTTCTTCTTAATTGTACCGAGGGACGGAAAACTTCTATCGGGCTCTTCTTCGATCTTCTTTTTCTCCTCCTTCAAAGCCGCCCTTTGCATAAACTAGAGAGTGACAGTACAAAAAATCAGTACATGAACCAATTTGATCCATATGGTGCCTGAATCACTTTTTGCCAAAGAAATAATTCATTTTCTTTCCAAAGCTCAAGTCAATTTTGTGCTCCAAAAGTTTCAATGCATTCAAAGATCGCCAGAAATAAAAGGAGAACTCCAATTCTGAATCAGTTGACAAAAATTTATCACCTCTCAGATCTCTAGCCTCTCACAGCAACACAGATTAGCCAAAGTATGGTTAATCAAAAGATGCATAATCGATACAAGTTCAATATCCTAATTTCTGTTCAATATCCTAATTTCTGACTTCCCGAGAGAGAGAGACCTATGGAGCCCAAACTCACCCAATCCAAAATACAGGAAAAAAAAGGGGGTAAAAGTAAATTCCAATCTCGACCCAACGAAACAAAAAGGAACCGATCTTACAAGTCACGAAATTAACACCTCCGAGAATCAAATTAACTTCACGAAGAAGAAATCAACGAATGCAACGCAGTCCGCCGATAGAGAAGCTGTTTGTGCAAACGAAAACAAGAAGTAAAGCCATGGAAGAGACATCACGCGTTCCTTATGCATACCTTAAGGTTTTTGAGTGTGCTAGAAATCTCCCTCTTCGCCATTTCAGCTTCTCCAGTGATTATTTGCTTTCGAAGAACTAATTCGCGAAGAGGGAACAAATCGAGGGTTTGAGCTTATTCTGAATTTGAACTTAAATCTTCGTCACCCCCAAAAAGTTCTCCGTCCTCTTCCGCTAGGGTTTTGGATCCAAATTGAGCTTATGGCCCATAACTGGCCCAATAATTTAAGCCCAATCGATGCGATATATTATTTTGCAAAAACATAAAATGCCTTGATAATAATAGAGTCCATTTGGTAACAAGTTGACAGTATCAATCTCGACCGACCCTGTGGTCCGTATTGGTATATCACACAAGTGTATAATCAGATGTGCTACAAATATTTATTTGCCAAAAGGTAAAAGAGGGGGGGGGGACTAAGTCTCGGATTTGGTATGTCAACATGTAACGAAGACATAACCAGGAACTTCTTCTTCTTCCCCTAAGCTGTGGTCTCAATGGCGACCTTCTGCCTGCGACTAATCCTCTTGGATTTTTCATCCGCTGCCTCCCATAGTTGAGGAATGGCTTCACGTATGTTGTGCATATGCTCCAATGCAATATCCACATCCACTCCTTCAATCTTGTGAGAGGTGCCAACCTGAAGAAGATTCGGTGTCGGTAAAAATGGATCTATCAACTTTGAAGAGCTGTGTTTTGTTTTCAGATTGAAGGAAAGTATCGGTTTGCTTACCCAGACGGTGTGGAGACCCATGCGTTTCCCGCTTTGGATATTGCGGATGCTATCATCAAAGAACAACTGGAACCACCAAGAACTTTTTTTTTGTTAACCAGCAGAGGATGGGATGATAATGATAATAATCTCTGGCAATCGAGGTGTTGGAGAGTTTATGATGATCTTACAGTTTTCTCAGGATTGATGTTGGCGATCTTGAAAACATGTTCAAATGATCCTTCAGATGGCTTGCAGACAACAGGAGTCCTTGGGAGTTCAAGACCACTGTCCGGATTATCAATGTAGCTGCTTATGTCAAAGATTTTCAGACTTGAAGTGGTTGTTGATTCTCTAGTAACTGTCTTGTCATTGTCAATGGGATTCAGGGTCTCGAAACAAATGATCCTTTCAAAGCAGTCCTCTAGGCCTAGCCTGGCAAGGACCTTGGCTGCATGAGCCTTGTCTGCATTCGTGAAAATCTGCGGAAACATTCCCAAATTTGACATTAGCATGTAAAAGTTGGAACTCGTGAAGAGCTTAACAGTTAGATATGAAACTTACGACTTTCCGGATGGGCAAGCTAAGGAGAAGATTCCTTAAAACTGTGTCAGGCTTCAACATTGTGTAGGGCAGTCTCCCATGAACAAAACTGCGAGACATGAGGAATGTTTACTCTCTAATACCTCATTCAAAACCATGCTTGGGATGTATGAAAACGGAATTCAAGATCATTACCCATGGAAATCATCCGGGTCGAAGTTGTAACCAACAGCCTAAAAGAAGCAACAAATTGGGAATCAAGGGCATTGTTAAAGGCTCTACCAACGGAAGAACTTATAGCATGAAATATGTGCGAAAGGTAATATACCCTGAGACCAGCCATGGTTGTCCCATAGAACTTATAGAGCTGAAGGCACAGTTTTGCAACTACATCTTCCTCGATACCAAGTTTCTGAATCATATAATCTATGGAAGCAGCAACCACCAATCAGCAACAATACAAGAAGAGCGCAAGTCTTCAAGAGAAGGAACCAAATGCTGAAGACAGATTTACCTTGAATGTTCTTTTTTACTTCCGAAGCCAAACCAGAACTGAGTGGATAAAGGGTATCATCTAAGTCTGGAAATCATGAAAAATAAACTTATAGCCACAATAAAAGTCGTTCTCAAACATCAATTAGCTTCAAGGGATCGACATTCAATCCCCTCTCGAATTCTCACATCCTTACCAAACAAAAGACAATCATATTTGTGTTCGGCAGCCATTTTGATTCCAAATCACGCCTGAAACTGCAGTCCCCAACAAGAAGAAGTTCAGTTGAGATGATTTGAGGATCTGGTCCCAAGTTTCGCGAACAACATGCTAATTCTCGGACAACAACATAATGTCGACACTAGTTCGTCGGTTAACAATCGCTACCTCACAAAACACAGTCAAGAAATTTGAAACTACGAAAATGAGACCCCAGAAATTCTGCTTTTACACCTAATAGATGGCCGATGTAAGATATGCACGTAGAATAATGAAAGGCCGGAAAATCCCGAGAGAGCATCGGAAAACCCAAACTCATTCATGGATACGGAGAAAAAACAGGGAAAACAGTCTGATAAAACTCCGAATTCGGAGCCGTGATACTTCCCGAATAATCTAAGACTAACCATGATCAAACATCACTGAAATCAACAAATTGGGATAAGATCACTCACTCAGAACAGTGAGAAGACGAAACAATGACCTCGAATCAATTAGGAAAAAAGGGCAAGAAGAAAAACACGTAATGACGCGCTAGGAGGACGGAGAAATCAATGAGGAACGAAGATCAAAGGAGAAGACGAGCATTACCTTCCTGATCTATGAAAATGCGCGAGAAAAATGCGAGAAATATGCGAGAAAACGAGGGGAAGAATCACAGCCAATGGGGAAAAGGCTTTAAATAGAGAGGGGACGGTGGGGAGAAGAAACCGTTGAGGGTCACTTTTCGCCGTCCGTCTCATCCATTGGCTCTCAACAAATCGGGATCAAAACGAAGCAATGCGATCTTGCCACGTGTCATCTTGCTTGTCAATTCCGAAACGAATAGTTGGACGACACGTGTACATCCCGGGTACCCTGGAGCACCGACCACGCTCCAAATCACATGCCCCCTCAGTTTTTCCTCACGTTGCAATGAATTTTTTTTGGATGGTACGTAGAACATGTTGCATCCAAATATTTTATTATTTCTAGGTTTACTGTAACATTTGTATCATAGTGTTACAATATCCACAAAAAAAAAATGATTATAATAACCAAAGAGATGATTACAGAATAATATTTCTTATCCATAAATTACTAAATGCAGTTTTTGCTTCACCTCGTTTGCATCCAGATTTTGTAGTTTATCCTTCTTATATTCACGTGAACGTGAACCATCAAAATGTTCTGTCCGGAATTTACATTTGCGTTCGTATATATTTATAAGGAAACTGAGTTTTAGTTCCGTGCCTAGTGGCGCATCTATAAATATTTTGTACTACTAAAATAAATGATTTCACAAGTGCTATATATTGGATTTGGATTACATTGATTTCCATGATTTTTATGGGTTTGTTTTGTTTCTTTGGATTTGTATTTTAAGGAATTTGTTAACCATTTTAATCAATAACACAATAACAAATTTGCTTTAATATTATAAAAATAATACCGGAATGAATTCTTTTGTGGATATCAAATATCCTTAATCCATTGTTTTCTTCTTTCGTTTTAATTCAATATGGTGTATTGATTTATTCAGTTCCCTTAAAAATAATATTTCAAAAAAAATATAATAAACCAAAATTTTCGATAAATATCGGTTTCTTGTCATTATTCAAATATTTAACTTTTTCTAGCCAATATAATTTATAACCATTTCCTTTCGATCTTGTTTTCATTTCCATTTTGCAGTTATTAGAAGATACTAATATCTAATCGTTTCTCCTGTATTTAAAGAATTTGTTAGTCGGTTTAATTAATAACACTATAAATTTGTCTTATGAATTAAATTGATTATCAAATTTCTTAGAATCTAAAATCCATAAAACATCATCATAGTAATAAAAAAATTCTTGAAAAATAATAATTCAAATTAAAAATATAATCTAAAATTTTAAATTCTATAATCAATACGAAAATCCCAAACAGAATATTTTTTTATTTTATTTTCTCAAGTGATGTGGTGCCCCAAGGCAAGGAACGAATCTAAGGAGATGACGTGTCAGTCACATAAGATTCTTGTTCCTTCCAACACGAGGGAAACCAAACATCATTATCTCTTGCAATAAAAATTTATTTATTTTTAAAAAATATGCAGAAAAGGGGGTAACTTGGTCAATAATCAGCCCCTAATTTTTTGGGAAATTCATTGATTGGGGGGCAGCAAAGGTTTTTTTTTTTTGTGTATTTTCCATAACACATAACGGAAATTAAGAAAAATATGTCAGCATAATAGAAATACTGCTACTACCTTTCCATTTTAGGGAGATATATTTTTTTATATATACCAATTCTGATCAGCTCCTGCTTGTGTATGTGTATTTAATCTCCCCATCTGTAGATGTTACCGAAACCCTAAGGAGTGTTCTTTGCAATCTCATCCATTAGCCGCCCGTATTGATCTCCCTTGAAACCTCTTTGGGTTTTATTGAGTTTCTCTCCCTCTCCTTTTTTAGGTTTTTGTGACGATCTAAGCTCACTCTGGTTCTATCTTGTATGGCCTGATCACTTTACTAATTATTCCCCCTATTTGCCCTTCCTATTGTTGCTGCTTCAAATTTTGTTTCTTTTAGGCTTATTGGCGTCTTGTTGTTTTTTTCCCCGTAGAATCGATAGAACGGAACTGGGTATTGCTGTGTTGATTAAAGGTTTGATCTTTTGATATCAGGTTACTCAAAGGAGGTATCTCCAGTTGCTTACGTATGTCTCAGGCAAAAACTGGTGGAAAAGTTTTGATTTTGAGGTTTTCTTGAGGTTTAGGTTGTGATTTTAGCTTCCGGGTAGTAATCGGCATTACCGTTGGTAAAGGAATCATATGATCAATTAGGGTCTTGGACGATGTTGTCTGAATTGGGGAGAAGGCCAATGGTAGGTGCAGACGAAGGTTCTTTTGGGGTTGAATTTGAGAAAGAGTTTGGCTTGTTGCTCAGAGAGAACCGTCGGCAAGAAAGCGATGATCTTGAAAGAGAGCTTAGCTTGTACAGGAGTGGCTCTGCCCCTCCTACTGTGGAGGGTTCACTTAGTGCCATAGGTGGTCTCTTTGGAACGGGCGGTGTTGGAAGTGGTTCCACCGCTTTTCCGGAGCTTAGCAGGGGTAGGAATGAGAATGATTTACCTTCTGATGATGATTTCAGGTTTGATCCAGCTTACCATTCGTATTATTACTCGAACGTGAACTTGAACCCTAGGCTGCCTCCTCCTGTGCTCACGCGCGAGGAATTGAGGTATACACAGAGGTTGAAAGGAGGGAGTTCAGTGGTGGGTGGGGTTGGTGATAGGCGAAAAGTGAATCGAGCTGATAATGAAGCTGGTGATCGGTCCTTGTTTTCCATGCCTCCTGGTTTTGAATCGAGGAAGAGGGAGAATGATGTTGAGATGGAGAAAAACGCTCGTGCCTCTGCTGATTGGGGTGTTGATGGGCTGATCGGTTTGCCTGATTTGGGACTTGAAAGCAAACAGAAGAGTCTTGCTGATATCTTTCAGGTGATTATTGTCTCCTTGGTGTTTTTTGTTTTCTGGGTTTAATTATCGTTAGTCTTGGATTATGTTAATACAACCAGAACATACAAAACAACATGGTGTTATCAATTTTTTTATCTTGGAGCCTCTACTTGCATGAAATAGTTTGAAGCAACTTTGGATTTTCGTGGAGATTTGATCATATCTGTATTTCATTTTTAAGCAGGATGACTTTGAACGCGGTATTCCTGTAGCCAGTCACCCTTCCCGCCCTGCTAGTCGAACTATGTTTGATGAAAATGCTGAGATTGCCGGTTCTGATGATGCTGGGCTGTCTCATTTGCGTGAACTAGCCTCTGGAAGTAACCTGGTCGGCACGGGCAGTGGGTCCCACAAAGTGCATTACGTTGGTGGTTCCTTGTCCAGAAGTGCCACTCCTGATCCCCAACTTGTTGCCAGGGTTCCTAGTCCCTGCCCTACACCGATTGGGGCCGGTAGAGCAAGTGCTTCCGATAAAAGAGGAATTAACAGTTCTGGGTCGTTCAGTGACATAACTTCTGGTGTCAATGCTTCTTCCGATATTGTCTCTGCTCTGTCTGGAATGAACTTGTCAGGTAATGGTGGGCCAGATGGAGAAAACATGAATAAGCGGGATCTAGAGCAGAGACAGAACTATATGTTTGCACTTCAAGGTGGTCATAATCAGATAAATCAACATGTCTTGTCTAAGAAGTCTGACCCCAGGCACTGTCAGAAATCTGTTGACTTTACAAACTCATCTTATCGTGGGGATAGGCAGCATGGCTTTCACAAATCTGGCTCGTATTCCGGTAATCCATATATGAAAGGCTCTTCGACCTCCATTCTTAACGGTGGTTTAGGTGGTTACTCATTTAACCAGCCTGTTACTTCCATGATGTCTGGTCAGCTAGGAACTGGTAACTTTCCACCTCACCTGGAAAACGGTAATGCGGCTTCAGCTTTGGGGTTACAAGGATTTGACTCTAGGGTTCTTGGTGGTGGTATAAGTTCTGGTCACACCGATAGAATGACCATGGGCAGCTCTGCGTTACAGCATCCTTTTGCTGATCCTCTTTATGTTCAGTACCTAAGAACATCTGAATATGCAGCCCAGCTTGGAGCCCTTAATGACCCAATGATGGATCATAACCCCTTAGGCAATAACTCTTACATGAACAACTTAGCCGAGATGCAGAGAGCTTACGTTGACCAGTTCTTATCTGCCCAGAAGTTACAGTATGTTGCTTCAGTCGGTGGAAAATACGGTGGTGGTTCTAATCAACGGGGTTATTATGGGATGTCGTATCCCGGGAGTCCATTAGCCAATCCCGATTTTCCAAACTCACCTGTTGGATCTGGCAGTCCCATGAGACATAATGACCTGAATATGTCTTATCCGTCTAGGATGAGAAATTTGGCTGGTGGATGGCACTTGGATGCTGGTTTTGATGAGGGTTTTGGATCTTCTTTGCTTGAAGAATTCAAGAACAACAAAGCAAAGTGCTTTGAGCTCTCAGAGATTGCTAATCATGTCGTGGAGTTTAGGTGCTTATGAATCTTCAATTGCTCTCTTCCCTTTACCCTCTTTTTTAACGTTTGGTTTCTGATTTGATTGTTGTTAAATCTGAATTTACATGAATAGTTCGGATCAGTATGGTAGTCGGTTTATTCAACAAAAGCTTGAGACTGCTTCAGTGGAGGAGAAAACCATGGTCTATGAAGAAATCATGCCACATGCTCTTCAACTGATGACTGATGTTTTCGGTAATTATGTGATTCAGAAGGTATGTGCTTTTTATACATGCGTACATGTGACCTTGAGTTTTACAAAGTTTGTTGCCTTATATTTTCTCGTCAAGATATTAACGACCAAGAGACACCATCTTCTTTGCAGTTTTTTGAGCATGGACTTCCATCTCAAAGGCGAGAATTGGCTGAGAAGCTCTTCGGTAATGTTCTGACACTTAGCCTTCAGATGTATGGTTGCAGAGTTATTCAAAAGGTACTTTCTTCAATGTCAGTGCTAAAATATCTTGAATATGGATACGTTTTCAATCTCATGGTTAATTTCTCTTGCAATCTTGTTCAACCTGTTTAGGCTATAGAGGTTGTTGATCTTGACCACAAGATCGAGATGGTGAAAGAGCTCGACGGTAATGTTATGCGCTGTGTAAGGGATCAGAACGGGAACCACGTCATCCAGAAATGCATTGAATGCATTCCCGAGGAGAATATCCAATTCATCGTCTCGACATTCTTTGATCAGATTGTGACTCTTTCAACACATCCTTATGGATGCCGCGTTGTACAGGTAAAAATAATGTGGATTTTACTGTCTCAATGGTAAAAAGATGAAAAGTTTTGCTGACCCGTTTTCTAAATTTAACTGGGACCCTTCTTCAGAGGATTCTAGAGCACTGCAAAGACCAGAACACTCAGAATAAGGTCATGGATGAGATATTAAGCTCTGTTAGCATGTTAGCCCAGGATCAATATGGAAACTATGTTGTTCAGGTACCTGTCTTCTTATATTTTATCGTGTAACTTAGCGTAAAAAATGATTCATATCCGTAAAAAAAATGATACTTTCATATTCTTGCGCTTCCTTTCATCTCGTTTTATTGTCTTTAACAAAGCATTTATGTTCGTTATGTTGTGATATGGCTTTCTGATATAATAACTTAATTCTGAGATGCCTACTTATATGTGAATTTGGTGTGGGATAAACAGCATGTTCTTGAGCATGGAAAGCCTCATGAGCGGTCCATAATAATAAAGGAGTTAGCCGGGAAGATAGTTCAGATGAGTCAGCAAAAATTTGCCTCCAATGTCGTCGAAAAGTGTCTGACTTTTGGGGATGCCTCTGAGCGTCTGCTGCTTGTTAACGAGATGCTCGGCACCACTGATGAAAATGAGCCTCTTCAGGTCTTTTCAGATGTTCCCTTGACTCAATAAACCGATGCTTTACGAATTTTACCCCGTTTATTCTAATTTTCGTCATGAATTCTCGTCTAATATTGCCTTGTCATGAGTGCGTTGAGTAGAATACTGTGTTTTCTGATGTCATTTTTGTTTTTTCTTTGCTTTTTTTTTTGTCCAGGCAATGATGAAAGATCAGTTTGGGAACTATGTTGTGCAAAAGGTTCTGGAGACTTGTGACGATCAAATGAGAGAGCTCATACTCTCCCGAATCAAGATTCATCTGAATGCCCTTAAGAAGTATACCTACGGGAAGCACATTGTTGCACGTGTTGAGAAACTTGTCGCCACTGGAGGTAACGTTTCAGTCATGCCTTAAACACTGTAGATGAATGCATGTATGTGCATGTATGTATATATGGGATTACTCCTTGCGAATCCGAATCCGACCCTTACGGACATATATACACACATTTCTGCACATGTGAACGAGTGTGTGTATGTATGTATGGTAGCAGTCTACTCGGTGCCGATTGTAAAGAGGGTGAATTCGCGGATTCAGCAACTGTGAAAAGATCAACAAAACCACGCTCGGAAACAGTTTTTATTTATTTATACCAAGCATGCTAATGTTGTGGGTAATGGGTTATCTTCGTGGGCTTGAATCAATACTGAAAGTCTGAAACTTTTGCATATGGTTGCAGAGCGGAGGATGGCGCAGTCTCTGAACGTAGGACCCTAAAGCCATTGTACAGTTTAACACCGAGGAGGCTTTACTGTAAGAAAAAATAGCCCTTTAGGACAAAAACTGATTTCTGTGTCCATCTTTGTCATGAGCTGAAGCTGACTCGGAGACAAGACACAAGTGGAGAATAACTGAAGTCTGCTATACTCTGTTCCTTTTCTTCTTCTTCTTCTTCTTCTTCTTCTTCCTCCTCTTCCCTGCTTTCAATCTCTGTGTACAATTTTGTAGGGTTTTCCCAAAGCTTATATCGTTTAGTTTCAATCTCAGGTTGTTTTTTTACCTGTCTTCATGTATATTATTATATATTTCTTTTTCACAGCTAATTTACATGTTTCAAACTTTCAATTGGAGGAGTGAATTATGATTTGAATTAATATATTTCTTTTTCTTAGCTTATGAATCGGGTTGGTGAATTATGCTGATTTTTGAAATATAAAGATAGAATCAAAGGTAAAAATCTTTTTTAGATAAAATTTTGGAGATAGAGGGAAAATCATAGTAAATAATAGAGGAAATTATCATATCAATTCGTGTATATCTAGAACGTGTAAGAAAAATTTATATAAAAGAGAAACAAATGCACATTGGTTATACACGAAAAGCAAAACATATTTTATTTAAGAGAGTTTTTCTGTTAGTTATCGAGTATTCGCTGTTTAAGTGAATGTACGTATGGGACGGAAGTTTGTTGATATACAATTATAATTTCAAAAGGGTCCATTAATTTGATAATAATTATAGTTTGAAAATAAACAAATATACTGAACTAATTTTCATGGATAATTTTGTTCTATTTTCGAAAATGTTATGTAAATGTATTTGAATAATATTATTTTTATTTTTCAATTTTTGATATTTTATTATAATCGTTTTGACAATGTTGGTTAAGTTCTAATTTTTTTCTAAATTTTATTATTAACTTAGACTTAACAGTTAACATACTTTTCTAAAAATATCTATTTATTCGCAGAATTATATAATTTTGGTAATATTTTTATTATATATTTTACTAATTTCGTATTTTGGTTAGTAAAATACCATGAAATCTTATCAAATATCTTCATTATTATTAATTATTAATCCAAAATATTCAATTTTTGTCGTAATATTTTTTTTTTTATTTCTGATAATTAATCATTTCTCATTACATAAGGTTAAAGCATTTTTTTAACCAAAGCTTTGTTTGAAGAAATATGCACTTTTGAGGGTATTTTTGTAAATATTGTCTGATGAGCTCCAGTTTAATCTCCCCATCCGTAGATGCTACCAAAACCCTAAGGAGTGTTCTTTGCAATCTCCATTAGCCGCCATTGATCTTCTTTTCTTTTTTTTTTTTAAAGTTTCTCTCTCAAATTTTTTCTTACGTTTTGGCGATCTAAGCTCACTCTGGTTCTATCTTGTATGGCAAAATCACTCTACTAATTATTCTCCCTCTTTGCCATTCCTGTTGTTGCTGCTTCAAATTTTGTTTCTTTTAAGCTTATTGGCGTCTTGGTTTTTTTCTTCTTCTGTGGAATCGATAGAATGGAACTGGGCATTGCTGTGTTGATTAAATGTTTGATCTTTTGATATTAGGTTACTCAAAGGAGGCATCTCCAGTTGCTTACGTAGGTCTCAGGCAAATCCTGGAGGAAAAGTTTTGATTTTGAAGTTTTCTTGAGGTTTTAGGTTGCGATTTTAGCTTCCGGGTAGTAATCGGCATTACCGTTGGTCCGAGGAAGCCTATGATCATTTAGGGTTTTGGACGATGTTGTCTGAATTGGGGAGAAGGCCAATAGGTGCCGACGAAGGCTCTTTCGGGATTGAATTTGAGAAAGAGTTTGGCTTGTTGCTCAGGGAGAACTGTCGGCAAGAAAGCGACGATCTTGAAAGAGAGCTTAACTTGTACAGGAGTGGCTCTGCCCCTCCTACTGTGGAGGGCTCACTTACTGCCGTAGGTGGTCTGTTTGGCGCTGGCGGTGGTGGAAGTGGTTCCACCGCCTTTCAGGAGCTCAGCAGGGATAGGAACGAGAATCGTTTACCTTCTGATGATGATTTCAGGTTTGATCCAGCTTACCATTCGTATTATTACTCGAACGTGAACTTGAACCCTAGGCTGCCTCCTCCTGTGCTCACGCGTGAGGAATTGAGGTACGCACAGCGGTTGAAAGGAGGGAGTTCAGTGGTGGGTGGGGTTGGTGATAGGCGAAAAGTGAATCGAGCTGATAATGAAGCTGGTGATCGGTCCTTGTTTTCCAAGCCTCCTGGTTTTGAATCGAGGAAGAGAGAGAATGATGATGAGATGGAGAAAAACACACATGCCTCTGCTGAGTGGGGTGGTGATGGGTTGATCGGTTTGGGACTTGAACGCAAACAGAAGAGTCTTGCTGATATATTTCAGGATGACTTTGGACGCAGTACTACTCCTGTAACCGGTCAACCTTCTCGCCCTGCTAGCCGAACACTGTTTGAGGAAAATGCTGAGATTGCTGGTTCTGATGACGCTGAGCTCTCTCATTTGCGTGAACTAGCCTCTGGAAGTTGCCTTGCTGGCAGTGGGTCCCACAAAGTGAATTACGTGGCAGCTGTTGGTGGTTCCTTGTCCAGAAGTGCCACTCCTGATCCCCAGCTTGTTGCCAGGGTTCCTAGTCCTTGTCCTACACCGATTGGGGCCGGTAGAGCAAGTGCTTCCGATAAAAGAGGAATTAACAGTTCTGGGTCATTCAGTAACATAAGTTCTAGCGTTAACGCTTCTTCTGATATTGTCTCTGCCCTGTCTGGATTGAACTTGTCAGGTAATGGTGGGCCAGATGGAGAAAACATGAATAAGCGGGATCTAGAGCAGAGACAGAGCTATATGCTTGCACTTCAAGGTGATCATAATCAGATGAATCAACATGTCTTGTCTAAGAAGTCGGAGCCCGGGCACTATCAGAAATCTGTTGACTTTTCAAACTCATCTTATCGTGGGGATAGGCAGAATGGCTTTCAAAAATCTGGCTCGTATTCCGGTAATTCATATATGAAAGGCTCTCCGACTTCCACTCTTAACGGTGGTTTAGGTGGTTACCCACTTAATCCGCCTGTTACTTCTATGATGTCTGGTCAGCTAGGAACTGGTAACTTTCCACCTCACCTGGAAAATGGAAATGCAGCTTCAGCTTTGGGGTTACAAGGATTTGACTCTAGGGTTCTTGGTGGTGGTATGAGTTCTGGTCACACCGATAGAATGACCATGGGCAGTTCTGCGTTACAGCATCCTTTTGCTGATCCACTTTATGTTCAGTACCTAAGAACATCTGAATATGCAGCCCAGCTTGGAGCCCTCAATGACCCAATGATGGATCATAACCTCTTAGGAAATAACTCTTACATGAACAACTTAGCCGAGATGCAGAGAGCTTACATTGATCAGTTATTGTCTGCCCAGAAGCAACAGTATGTTGCTTCAGTCGGTGGCAAATACGGCGGCGGTTCTAATCAACGAGGTTATCATGGGATGTCGTATCCCGGGAGTCCATTAGCCAATCCCGGTTTTCCAAATTCACCTGTTGGATCCGGCAGTCCCATGAGACATAATGACCTGAACATGTCTTATCCGTCTAGGATGAGAAATTTGGCTGGTGGATGGCACTTGGATGCTGGTTTGAATGAGGGTTTTGGATCTTCTTTGCTTGAAGAATTCAAGAATAACAAAGCAAAGTGCTTTGAGCTCTCAGAGATTTCTAATCATGTCGTGGCGTTCAGGTACTTACGAATCTTCAACTACTCTCTTCTTTTTTCTTTCTTTTTTATCAGTTGGTTTCTGATTTGATTGTTGTTAAATTTGAATTTACATGAACAGTTCGGATCAGTATGGTAGCCGGTTTATTCAACAAAAGCTTGAGACTGCATCAGTGGAGGAGAAAACCATGGTCTATGAAGAAATCATGCCACATGCTCTTGAACTGATGACTGATGTTTTCGGCAATTATGTGATTCAGAAGGTATGTGCTATATTTATACATGCATACATGTCAGAGACCTTGAGTTTTACAAAGTTTGTTGGTTTATATCTTCTCGTCAATATATTAACGACCAAGGGACATCGTCTCCTTTGCAGTTTTTTGAGCATGGACTTCCATCTCAAAGGCGAGAATTGGCTGAGAAGCTCTTCGGTAATGTTCTGACACTTAGCCTTCAGATGTATGGTTGCAGAGTTATCCAAAAGGTACTTTCTTCAATGTCAGTGCTAAAATATCTTGAATATGGATACGTTTTCAATCTCATGGTTAATGTCTCTTGCAAACTTGTTCAACCTGTTTAGGCTATAGAGGTTGTTGATCTTGACCACAAGATCGAGATGGTGAAAGAGCTCGACGGTAATGTTATGCGCTGTGTAAGGGATCAGAACGGGAACCACGTCATCCAGAAATGCATTGAATGCATTCCCGAAGAGAATATCCAATTCATCGTCTCGACATTCGTTGATCAGATTGTGACTCTTTCAACACATCCTTATGGATGCCGCGTTATACAGGTAAAAATAATGAGGATTTTACTGTCTCAATGATAAAAAGATGAAAACTTTTGCCGACCCGTTTTCTAAATTTTTTCCGGGGCCCTTCTTCAGAGGACTCTAGAGCACTGCAAGGACCAGAACACTCAGAATAAGGTTATGGATGAGATATTAAGCTCTGTTAGCATGCTAGCCCAGGATCAATATGGAAACTATGTTGTTCAGGTACCTGTCTTCTTATATTTTATCGTGTAACTTAGCGTAAAATCTGATTCATATCCGTAAAAAAAAAGATCTTTTCATTTTCTTGAGCTTCCTTCTATCTCGACTTATTGTCTTTAACAAAGTACTTCTGTTCATTATGTTAACTTATGATTTGGTTTTCTGATATAATAACTTAATTCTGAGATGCCTACTTATATGTGAATTTCGTGTGGGATAAACAGCATGTTCTTGAGCATGGAAAGCCTCATGAGCGGTCCATAATAATAAAGGAGTTAGCCGGGAAGATAGTTCAGATGAGTCAGCAAAAATTTGCCTCCAATGTCGTCGAAAAGTGTCTGACTTTTGGGGATGCCTCTGAGCGTCTGCTGCTTGTTAACGAGATGCTCGGCACCACTGATGAAAATGAGCCTCTTCAGGTCTTTTCAGATGTTCCCTTGACTCAATAAACCGATGCTTTACGAATTTTACCCCGTTTATTCTAATTTTCGTCATGAATTCTCGTCTAATATTGCCTTGTCATGAGTGCGTTGAGTAGAATACTGTGTTTTCTGATGTCATTTTTGTTTTTTCTTTGCCTTTTTTTGTTTTTGTTTCAGGCAATGATGAAAGATCAGTTTGGGAACTATGTCGTGCAAAAGGTTCTGGAGACTTGTGACGATCAAATGAGAGAGCTCATACTCTCCCGAATCAAGATTCATCTGAATGCCCTTAAGAAGTATACCTACGGGAAGCACATTGTTGCACGTGTTGAGAAACTTGTCGCCACTGGAGGTAACGTTTCAGTCATGCCTTAAACACTGTAGATGAATGCATGTATGTGCATGTATGTATATATGGGATTACTCCTTGCGAATCCGAATCCGACCCTTACGGACATATATACACACATTTCTGCACATGTGAACGAGTGTGTGTATGTATGTATGGTAGCAGTCTACTCGGTGCCGATTGTAAAGAGGGTGAATTCGCGGATTCAGCAACTGTGAAAAGATCAACAAAACCACGCTCGGAAACAGTTTTTATTTATTTATACCAAGCATGCTAATGTTGTGGGTAATGGGTTATCTTCGTGGGCTTGAATCAATACTGAAAGTCTGAAACTTTTGCATATGGTTGCAGAGCGGAGGATGGCGCAGTCTCTGAACGTAGGACCCTAAAGCCATTGTACAGTTTAACACCGAGGAGGCTTTACTGTAAGAAAAAATAGCCCTTTAGGACCAAAACTGATTTCCCTATCCATCTTGTTCATGAGCTGAAGCTGACTCGGAGACAAGACACAAGTGGAGAATAACTGAAAGTCTGCTATACTCTGTTCGTTTTCTTCTTCTTCTTCCTCCTCCTCCCTGCTTTCAATCTCTGTGTACAATTTTGTAGTTCTTTCCCAAAGCTTATATCTTTTAGTTTCAAGCTCAGGTTGTTTTTTGCCTGTCTTCATTTCTGTCTTACTTCGTGTATATTATTATATATTTCTCTTTCACAGCTAATTTACATGTTTCAAACTTTCAATTTGCTTATGAATCGGGTTGGTGAGTTACGCTTTGGGGATTTGGGATTTTTTAGATCGAAAATCCAATTATAATCTTAAAAGGGTCGATTAATTTTATAGTAATTATAGTTTGAAGATAAGCAAAGATATTGAACTATTGGATTGGATAATTCTGATCTATTTTCGAAAATATTATGTAAATGTATTTGAATAATATTGTTTTTTTTCTTCATTTTTTAATGTTTTATTATAATTGCTTTGACAATGTTGGTTAAGGTATGGTATTTTTTTTCTTTTATTATTAACATGTAAGTAACTGTTAACATACTTTTCTAAAAATATCTATTTATTCGCAGAATTATATAATTTTGGTAATATTTTTATTATATATTTTACTAATTTCGTATTTTGGTTAGTAAAATACCATGAAATCTTATCAAATATCTTCATTATTATTAATTATTAATCCAAAATATTCAATTTTTGTCGTAATATTTTTTTTTATTTCTGATAATTAATCATTTCTCATTACATAAGGTTAAAGCGTATTTTTTGAACCAAAGCTTTGTTTGAAGAAATATGCACTTTTGAGGGTATTTTTGTAAATATTGTCTGATGAGCTCCAGTTTAATCTCCCCATCCGTAGATGCTACCAAAACCCTAAGGAGTGTTCTTTGCAATCTCCATTAGCCGTCTTTTGTTTTTTAAAAGTTTCTCTCTCTCTCTTTTTTTTAGGTTTTTGGACGATCTAAGCTCACTCTGGTTCTATCTTGTATGGCAAAATCACTTTACGAATTATTCCCCCTTTTTGCCTTTCCTGTTGTTGCTGCTTCAAATTTTGTTTCTTTAAAACTTGTTGGCGTCTTGGTTGTTTTTTCTTATGTGGAATCGATAGAATGGAACTGGGTATTGCTGTGTTGATTAAATGTTTGATCTTTTGATATTAGGTTACTCAAAGGAGGCATCTCCGGTTGCTTACGTAGGTCTCAGGCAAATCCTGGAGGAAAAGTTTTGATTTAGCTTCCGGGTATTAATCAGCGTTACCGTTGGTCGGAGGAAGCCTATGATCATTTAGGGTTTTGGACGATGTTGTCTGAATTGGGGAGAAGGCCAATGGTAGGTGCAGATGAAGGCTCTTTCGGGATTGAATTTGAGAAAGAGTTTGGCTTGTTGCTCAGAGAGAACCGTCGGCAAGAAAGCGACGATCTTGAAAGAGAGCTTAACTTGTACAGGAGTGGCTCTGCCCCTCCTACTGTGGAGGGCTCACTTACTGCCGTAGGTGGTCTGTTTGGAGCTGGCGATGGTGGAAGTGGTTCCACCGCCTTTCAGGAGCTCAGCAGGGATAGGAACGAGACTGGTTTACCTTCTGATGATGATTTCAGGTTTGATCCAGCTTACCATTCGTATTATTACTCGAACGTGAACTTGAACCCTAGGCTGCCTCCTCCTGTGCTCACGCGTGAGGAATTGAGGTACACACAGAGGTTGAAAGGAGGGAGTCCAGTGGTGGGTGGGGTTGGTGATAGGCGAAAAGGGAATCGAGCTGATAATGAAGCTGGTGATCGGTCCTTGTTTTCCAAGCCTCCTGGTTTTGAATCGAGGAAGAGAGAGAATGACGTTGAGATGGAGAAAAACACTCATGACTCTGCTGAGTGGGGTGGGGATGGGTTGATCGGTTTGGGACTTGAACGCAAACAGAAGGTTCTTGCTGATATATTTCAGGATGACTTTGGACGTGGTACTACTCCTGTAACCAGTCATCCTTCTCGTCCTGCTAGCCGAACTGTGTTTGAGGAAAATGCTGAGATTGCCGGTTCTGATGATGCTGAGCTGTCTCATTTGCGTGAACTAGCCTCTGGAAGTAGCCTTGCCGGTTGTGGATCCCACAAAGTGCATTATGTGGCAGCCGTTGGTGGTTCCTTGTCCAGAAGTGCCACTCCTGATCCCCAGCTTGTCGCAATGGTTCCTAGTCCTTGTCCTACACCGATTGGGGCCGGTAGAGCAAGTGCTTCCGATAAAAGAGGAATTAACAATTCTGGGTCATTCAGTAGCATAAGTTCTGGCGTCAATGCTTCTTCTGATATTGTCTCTGCCCTGTCTGGATTGAACTTGTCTGGTAATGGTGAGCCAGATGGAGAAAACATGAATAAGCGGGATCTAGAGCAGAGACAGAACTATATGCTTGCACTTCAAGGTGGTCATAATCAGATAAATCAACATGTATTGTCTAAGAAGTCAGAGCCCCGGCACTATCAGAAATCTGAGGACTTTTCAAACTCATCTTATCGTGGCGATAGGCAGAATGGTTTCCAAAAATCTGGATCGTATTCCGGTAATTCATATATGAAATTCTCTCCGACCTCCACTATTAACGGTGGTTTCGGTGGTTACCCACTTAACCAGCCTGTTACTTCCATGATGTCTGGTCAGCTAGGAACTGGTAACTTTCCACCTCACCTGGAAAACGGAAATGCAGCTTCAGCTTTGGGGTTACAAGGATTTGACTCTAGGGTTCTTGGTGGTGGTATGAGTTCTGGTCACGCCGATAGAATGACCATGGGCAGCTCTGCGTTACAGCATCCTTTTGCTGATCCACTTTATGTTCAGTACCTAAGAACATCTGAATATGCAGCCCATCTTGGAGCCCTCAATGACCCAATGATGGATCATAACCTCTTAGGAAATAACTCTTACATGAACAACTTAGCCGAGATGCAGAGTGCTTACATTGGTCAGTTATTATCTGCCCAGAAGCAACAGTATGTTGCTTCAGTCGGTGGCAAATATGGCGGTGGTTCTAATCAACGCGGTTATCATGGGATGTCGTATCCCGGGAATCCATTAGCCAATCCCGGTTTTCCAAATTCACCTGTTGGATCCGGCAGTCCCATGAGACATAATGACCTGAACATGTCTTATCCGTCTAGGATGAAATATTTGGCTGGTGGATGGCACTTGGATGCTGGTTTGAATGAGGGTTTTGGATCTTCTTTGCTTGAAGAATTCAAGAATAACAAAGCAAAGTGCTTTGAGCTCTCAGAGATTGCTAATCATGTCGTGGAGTTCAGGTACTTACGAATCTTCAACTACTCTCTTCCTTTTTCTTTCTTTTTTATCAGTTGGTTTCTGATCTGATTGTTGTTAAATCTGAATTTACATGAACAGTTCAGATCAGTATGGTAGCCGGTTTATTCAACAAAAGCTTGAGACTGCATCAGTGGAGGAGAAAACCATGGTCTATGAAGAAATCATGCCACATGCTCTTGAACTGATGACTGATGTTTTCGGCAATTATGTGATTCAGAAGGTATGTGCTATATTTATACATGCATACATGCCACAGATCTGGAGTTTTACAAAGTTTGTTGCCTTATATTTTCTCGTCAAGATATTAACGACCATGGGACATCGTCTCCTTTGCAGTTTTTTGAGCATGGACTTCCATCTCAAAGGCGAGAATTGGCTGAGAAGCTCTTCGGTAATGTTCTGACACTTAGCCTTCAGATGTATGGTTGCAGAGTTATCCAAAAGGTACCGAGTTCTTCAATGTCAGTGCTAAAATATCTTGAATATGGATACATTTTCAATCTCACGGTTAACAGCTCTTGCAATCTTGTTCAACTTTTTTAGGCCATTGAGGTTGTTGATCTTGACCACAAGATCAAGATGGTAAAAGAGCTCGACGGCAATGTTATGCGTTGTGTAAGGGATCAGAACGGGAACCACGTCATTCAAAAATGCATTGAATGCATTCCCGAGGAGAATATCCAATTCATCATCTCGACATTCTTTGATCAGATTGTGACTCTTTCAACACATCCTTATGGATGCCGCGTTGTACAGGTAAAAAAATGTGGATTTTACTGTCTCAATGATAAAAAGATTAAAACTTTTGCCTGACCCGTTCTCTTATTTTTTTCCGGGATCTTTGTTCAGAGGATTCTAGAGCGCTGCAAAGACCAGAACACTCAGAATAAGGTCATGGATGAGATATTAAACTCTGTTAGCATGTTAGCCCAGGATCAATATGGGAACTATGTTGTTCAGGTACCTGTCTTCTATATTTATCGTGCAACTTAGCGTAAAAACTGATTCATATTCGGAGAAAAAACGATATTTTCATTTTTTTTTAGCTTTAGTTTCTTTCCATTTTGTTTTATTGTCTTTAACAAAGCATTTCTGTTCATTATGTTATGATTTGGTTTTCTGATATAATAACTTAATTCTGAGATGCCTACTTATATGTGAATTTCGTGTGGGATAAACAGCATGTTCTTGAGCATGGAAAGCCTCATGAGCGGTCCATAATAATAAAGGAGTTAGCCGGGAAGATAGTTCAGATGAGTCAGCAAAAATTTGCCTCCAATGTCGTCGAAAAGTGTCTGACTTTTGGCGATGCCTCTGAGCGTCTGCTGCTTGTTAACGAGATGCTTGGCACGACTGATGAAAATGAGCCTCTTCAGGTCTGTTCAGATGTTCTGTTGAGCCGGAAAACCAAACTTTTCGAAGTTTATCCCGTTTATTCTAATTTTCGTCACTATTTCTCGTCTAATCTTGCCTTGTCATGAATGGCATTGAGGAGAATACCATGTTTTCTGATGTCATTTTTGTTATTTTTCTGCTTTTTGTTCAGGCAATGATGAAAGATCAGTTCGGGAACTATGTTGTGCAAAAGGTCCTGGAGACTTGTGACGATCAAATGAGAGGGCTCATACTCTCCCGAATTAAGATTCATCTGAATGCCCTTAAGAAATATACTTATGGGAAGCACATTGTTGCACGTGTTGAGAAACTTGTCGCCACAGGAGGTAACGTTTAACGTTCATGAATGTTCATTTCACGCCTGAAACACTGTAGATGAATGTATGTACATGTGGAATTACATCTTATGAAGCCGTCCCTTGAAGCAGATGAACCCGCACACATGGAACTATGCCTGTATGCACATGCATATATGCATTTCTGCACATGTGAAGCATAACTGTGAAAAGATCAACAAAAACGCTCTCGGAAACAGTTTTTTCCCGAGCTTGTTATTGTGGATAATGGGTTATGTTCATGGCCTTGATTCAATACTGAAAGTCTGAAACTTCTGAATATGGTTGCAGAGCGGAGAATGGCTGCGCAGACTCTGAACGTAGGGAACCAAAGCCATTGTACAGTCAACACCGAGGAGGCTTTATTAGTGTAAGAGAGAAAAGCCCTTTAGGACCAACGCTGATTTCTTTACCCATCTTTGTCATGAGCTGAGCTGAGCTGACTCGGAGACAAGACACAGAAGTGGAGAGTAACTGAAGTTTGCTATGCTCTGTTCCTTTTTTCAATCTCTGTACATTTTGTAGGGTTTTCCCATAGGCTCCGTCTTTATTCTTTTACATACATAAATAGCAGAGGCTGAAAATCGGAGACTGAGTATACGTATAAAGAAAGATGAGATCCGACCCAATGTAAAAAATGCTTGGATTAGTCGTTTGGGTTAGGTTCATGATCTTCTTATATATATGTACATATATTTCTCTGTTCGTCTCTGCATTACTTCATATAGATTAGTATATATCATCAAGAGACAACACTCACCAAGACTATGGCTTTAATGCCTCAGTTACTTTCGAGTGTGATGATAAGTTTCAATTCCAATGAGTGGAAAACAATCAGAGCGAGTGAAAATGAAGCAGCAGAGGCACAAAAGCCCAATGCTTTATTATATACCGATGATGGATGCTGTAAGAAGAATCTAACTGTAGTAGAACACACAGAAACTGGACTAAGTGTTAGTCCCGCGAGCTAGATTAGCTCGATCCTGGTGCCATGGATGCGTATTACTTGTCATTCACGCCACCACCGCCGACAGAAGGGTAGGACGCCATGGATCCGTACTTATTCCCCGTCCAGCCTTTCTGCTGCATCATAAATGGATTCAATTCAAAGACGCCAGGGCCTCCGGTGGCATGATGATAGTGATCATGACCATGACTATGACGGTGAAGATGATGATGATATCCCTGCATACCCATCGTCGGCGGTGGTGCCCCGTACGGCACGGGAATCGGTAACACCATGTTTCCGGAAGCTCCACCGCCGTCGTGAAAGCTCTGTGGAGGCACAGGCGTTGACGAGAAGAGATGGTCGTCGGAGGAAGGAGCCTCCGTCGTCAAGCCCTGCATCCGCTTGAGGTATAACCTGTATTTCTGCAGGTGAGACGCGACGTTCTCGCGAGTGAGGCCTTCCACGTTCATCAGCTGCATAATCGTCTTGGGCACGGCGTTTTTTATCCCCAAGTGAGCCACCACGTCCACGAATCTCTTGTGCAGCTGCGGCGTCCACACCAGACGCGCCCGCTTCACCGACCTCCCCGATGGATCCTCCGTTCCCGAATCCGCCTCCTCCTCCGCCGCCGTGGCTCCGATTCGACGCTGCTTCTTCGGATCCGACCCGACCCGGTCCTCATCCGCCGCGACTGTCGTCTTGAAGCTGTTACTGTTGTTGTTGGACGACGAGGCGTGAGCTCCGGTGGAGCCGTTGCGAAGAGCGGAGAGCGTGGTCTGCGACGCGTGATTCACATCCTGGATCGTACGGCTCTGCTCAGGGGAGACGCTGAAAGCCAACGCGAGCTCCGTCGGGACCAGTGGCTGAGACAGCGGCATCAAATCCTCGCAGCTCGGGAGACCCATCTCCCACTCCACAACCCTATCTTCATTACAGCCGTCGTCTCCGGGAACCTCGTACTCCGTCATCTTCACTTCCTCTCCCATTTTATCCCTCGTTTCTCCCTAATTTTTCTTGGAGGTTTGAAGCCCCTGACTCAGAGACTCAAAATCGATGAGATTTCGGATCAGAAATCGGAGCAGCAATACGGCGGAAAATTCTTAGCGACCTGTTTGGAAGGCCAGAAAATTCGAGAAACGTTTTCCCCAGGAAAAAAAAAAGATGGAGAGAAAAAGTGCAATATCTGACTCTAGATCGGCCCGATTATTGCCAACGTGGACGAGTTAGCCAGATATTTAAGATCTTCTAAGTATCTATCACTCTACCCCATTGTAAGAGAGACACGTGTCCATCCTGCCAATCACCACTTGCCACGTCATGACTATATTTGCTAACCCGTACTCACAACTGTAGCTGATCGAATATGAAATTACCAGACTGGGCATAAAGGGTTTGCAGGTAAGTTGACGAGAAGAGGCCAAGTAAGAGGCCCTAAGGGTGTTTCTGTCAAATCATGAAAACACCGACTCAAGTGGCCCTGTGGGCCCAAAAAGAGAGGGTAGAAAATGGGTGAATGTGGGCCGATGATGTGAACAGACAGCTGGAGAGAGAAAGAAAAAGAAGATGCGTGAGGTTACGTCATCACAGCCGTTGGATTGCGGTTTAAAGATATTTATGGAAGCATCGAGGATCAATCTAACGATGAAGAGGCGAGGACATGACGTCACTTATCAGAACAACAAGGAATTGACTTCTGACGTTTAACGCAAAACAATCATCGGCAAGTTGCAATATGTAAATTAGCTGTAAGAAAGAAATATATAATAATAATAATAACCATCGATTATATAATAATGCGGAAATACACAAATATATAAATATATATATATATATAAGAGCCTGAAAGTAAAAGACATTAAGCTTTCATACTCGAACGATTAATACAAGCATGAGTTTTTTTTACAGTGGGTGGGTTCTGATCTTTCTCTATATATAAACTCAGATTCGGATTTAAGCCTCTGCTATTTGTGTACGTAAAAAGGAAAAAAAGATAGAGCCTATGGGAAAACCCTACAAAATGTACAGAGATTGGAAGCAAGGAGGAGGAAGCAGACAAGGAACAGAGCAAACTTCAGTTATTCTCCACTTCCGTGTCTTGTCTCCGAGTCAGCTCACGACAAAGATGGATAGAGAAATCAGTTTTGGTCTTAAAAGGGCCTTTCTCTCTTACAGTAAAGCCTCCTCGGTGTTAACTGTACAATGGCTTTAGCTTCCTACGTTCAGAGACTGCGCAGCCATTCTCCGCTCTGCAACCATATTCACAAGTTTCAGACTTTCAGTATTTGATTCAAGACCATGAAGATAACCCATTACCCACAGTATCAAGCTCCGACAAAAGACTGTTTCCGAGAGTGGTTTTGATCTTTTCACAGTTGCTGAATCCGCGAATACACATTCTTTACACCGAGTAGACTGCTACCATACATACACACACTCGTTCACATGTGCAGAAATGTGCGTATATATGTCCGTAAGGGTCGGATTCGCAAGGAGTAATCCCATATATACATGCACGTACATGCATTCATCTACAGTATTTAAGGCATGTCTGAAACGTTACCTCCAGTGGCGACAAGTTTCTCAACACGTGCAACAATGTGCTTCCCGTAGGTGTACTTCTTAAGGGCATTCAGATGAATCTTGATTCGGGAGAGTATGAGCTCTCTCATTTGATCGTCACAAGTCTCCAGAACCTTTTGCACGACATCGTTCCCAAACTGATCTTTCATCATTGCCTGAAACAAAAACAAAAAAAGGCAAAGAAAAAACAAAAATGACATCAGAAAACAGTATTCTACTCAACGCACTCATGACAAGGCAAGATTATACGAGAATTCATGACGAAAATCAGAATAAACGGGGTAAAATTCGTAAAGCATCGGTTTATTGAGTCAAGGGAACATCTGAAAAGACCTGAAGAGGCTCATTTTCATCAGTGGTGCCCAGCATCTCGTTAACAAGCAGCAGACGCTCAGAGGCATCGCCAAAAGTCAGACACTTTTCGATGACATTGGAGGCAAATTTTTGCTGACTCATCTGAACTATCTTCCCGGCTAACTCCTTTATTATTATGGACCGCTCATGAGGCTTTCCATGCTCAAGAACATGCTGTTTATCCCACACGAAATTCACATATAAGTAGGCATCTCAGAATGAAGTTATTATATCAGAAAGCCATATAAGAACATAACGAACACAAATGCTCTGTTAAAGACAATAAAACGAGATGAAAGGAAGCTCAAGAATATGAAAGTATTGTTTTTTTTTTCCGGATATGAATCAGTTTTTACGCTAAGTTACACGATAAATATAGAAGACAGGTACCTGAACAACATAGTTCCCATACTGATCCTGGGCTAACATGCTAACAGAGTTTAATATCTCATCCATGACCATATTCTGAGTGTTCTGGTCTTTGCAGCGCTCTAGAATCCTCTGAACAAAGATCCCGGAAAAAAAATAAGAGAACGGGTCGGGCAAAAGTTTTAATCTTTTTATCATTGAGACAGTAAAATCCACATTTTTTTACCTGTACAACACGGCATCCATAAGGATGTGTTGAAAGAGTCACAATCTGATCAAAGAATGTCGAGACGATGAATTGGATATTCCCCTCGGGAATGCATTCAATGCATTTTTGGATGACGTGGTTCCCGTTCTGATCCCTTACACAACGCATAACATTACCCTCAAGCTCTTTTACCATCTCGATCTTGTGGTCAAGATCAACAACCTCTATGGCCTAAACAGGTTGAACAAGATTGCAAGAGCCGTTAACCGTGAGATTGAAAATGTATCCATATTCAAGATATTATAGCTCTGACATTGAAAAACTCATTACCTTTTGGATAACTCTGCAACCATACATCTGAAGGCTAAATGTCAGAACATTACCGAAGAGCTTCTCGGCCAATTCTCGCCTTTGAGATGGAAGTCCATGCTCGAAAAACTGCAAAGGAGACGATGTCCCTTGGTCGATAAATATCTTGACGTGAAGATATAAAGCAACAAACTTTGTAAAACTCAAGGTCTCTGCCATGTATGCATGCATGTATGTATACATACCTTCTGAATCACATAATTACCGAAAACATCAGTCATCAGTTCAAGAGCATGTGGCATGATTTCTTCATAGACCATGGTTTTCTCCTCCACTGAAGCAGTCTCAAGCTTTTGTTGAATAAACCGACTACCATACTGATCCGAACTATTCATGTAAATTCAGATTTAACAACAAGCAAATCAGAAACCAACCGATAAAAAAGAGGGAAAAGGGAAGAGAGTAGTTGAAGATTCGTAAGTACCTGAACTCCGCGACATGGTTAGCAATCTCTGAGAGCTCAAAGCACTTTGCTTTGTTGTTCTTGAATTCTTCAAGCAAAGAAGATCCAAAACCCTCATCAAAACCAGCATCCAAGTGCCATCCACCAGCCAAATTTCTCATCCTGGACGGATAAGACATATTCAGGTCATTATGTCTCATGGGACTGCCAGATCCAACAGGTGAATTTGGTAAACCGGGATTGGCTAATGGACTCCCGGGATACGACATCCCATAATAACCTCGTTGATTAGAACCACCGCCGTATTTGCCACCGACTGAAGCAACATACTGTTGCTTCTGGGCAGATAATAACTGATCAATGTAAGCTCTCTGCATCTCGGCTAAGTTGTTCATGTAAGAGTTATTGCCTAAGAGGTTATGATCCATCATTGGGTCATTGAGAGCTGCAAGCTGGGCTGCATATTCAGATGTTCTTAGGTACTGAACATAAAGTGGATCAACAAAAGGATGCTGTAACGCAGAGCTGCCCATGGCCGTTCTATCGGTGTGACCAGAACTCAAACCACCACCAAGAACCCTAGAGTCAAATCCTTGTAACCCCAAAGCTGAAGCTGCATTTCCGTTTTCCAGGTGAGGTGGAAAGTTACCAGTTCCTAGCTGACCAGACATCATAGAAGTAACAGGCGGATTAAGTGAGTAACCACCTAAACCACCATTAAGAGTAGAGGTCGGAGAGCCTTTCATATATGAATTAGCGGAATACGAGCCAGATTTTTGAAAGCCATGCTGCCTATCCCCACGATAAGATGAGTTTGAAAAGTCAACCGATTTCTGGTAGTGCCCGGGCTCTGACTTCCTAGACATTACATGTTGATTCATCTGATTATGACCACCTTGAAGTGCAAGCATATAGCTCTGTCTCTGCTCTAGATCCCACTTATTCATATTTTCTCCATCTGGCCCACCATTACCTGACAAGTTCATTCCAGACAGAGCAGAGGCAATATTGGAAGAAGCATTGACACCAGAAGTTATGTTACTGAACGACCCAGAACTGTTAACTTCTCTTTTATCAGAAGCACTTGCTCTACCGGCCCCAATCGGTGTAGGGCAGGGACTAGGAACCCTGGCAACAAGTTGGGGATCAGGAGTGGCACTTCTGGACAAGGAACCACCAACGTAATGCACTTTGTGGGACCCACTGCCAGTGCCGGCCAGGCTACTTCCAGAGGCTAGTTCACGCAAATGAGAAAGCTCAGCGTCAACAGAACCGGCAATCTCAGCATTTTCATCAAACACAGTTCGGCTGGCGGGGCGAGAAGGGTAACTGGCTACAGGAGTACCACGTCCAAAGTCATCCTGAAAGATATCAGCAAGACTCTTCTGTTTGCTTTCATGTCCCAAACCAGGCAAACCGATCAACCCATCACCACCCCACTCAGTAGAGGCCCGAGTGTTTTTCTCCATCTCAACGTCATTCTCCCTCTTTCTCGATTCAAAACCAGGAGGCATGGAAAACAAGGACCGATCACCAGCTTCAGTATCAGCTCGATTCACTTTTCGCATATCACCAATCCCACCCACCATTGAACGCCCTCCTTTCATCCTCTGTGTGTACCTCAATTCCTCACGTGTGAGCACAGGAGGGGGCAGCCTAGGGTTCAAGTTCACGTTCGAGTAATAATATGAATGGTAAGCTGGATCAAACCTAAAATCATCATCAGAAGGTAAACCACTCTCATTCCTACCCCTGCTGGGCCCCTGAAAAGCGGTGGAACCACTTCCACCACCGCCAGTTCCAAAGAGACCACCTACGGCACTAAGTGAACCCTCCACAGTAGGAGGGGCAGAGCCACTCCTGTACAAGTTGAGCTCTCTTTCAAGATCATCGCTTTCTTGCCTACGGTTCTCTCTGAGTAACAAGCCAAACTCTTTCTCAAAATCAACCCCGAAAGATCCTTCGTCTGCACCTACCATTGGCCTTCTCCCCAATTCAGACAACACCGTCCAAAACCCTAATTGATCATATGCTTCCTCTGACCAACGGTAATGCCGATTACTACCCGGAAGCTAAAATCGCAACCTAAACCTCAAGGAAACCTCAAAATCAAAACTTTTCCTCCAGGATTTGCCTAAGAATCAACGTAAGCTGCTGGCGATACCTCCTTTGAGTAACCTGATATCAAAAGATCAAACCTTTAATCAACACAACAATACCCAGTTCATCGATTCCACAGACGAAAAAAAATAACCAAGACGCCAACAAGCTCAAAAGAAACAAAATTTGAAGCAGCAACAACCGGAAGGAGGCAAAGAGGGGGAATAATTAGTGAAGTGATTGTGCCATACAAGATAGAACCGGAGTGAGCTTAGATCGCCACAAAACCCAAGAAAAAAATAGAGAGAGAAACTAAAAAAAAAAAAGAGGTTTCAAGGGAGATCAATACGGGCGGCTAATGGAGATTGCAAAAAACACTCCTTAGGGTTTTGGTAGCCTCTACGGATGGAGAGGTTAAACTGGAGCTCATCAGCCAATATTTTTACAAAAATACCCCTCCAAAATGCATATTTCTTCAAAGCTTTTGTCTCCGAAAAAATTACGCCTTAACCTTAAGAATATCTTTGAAAATAACCCCTATAAGTAATATGATCATATATGACTCAAAAACTTAATAATATGGAAATTAGGATTTTCAATATAACACTCTATTATTATTGAAGATATATACAAATGATTATATTATTTATTCACAACACATTTAAACATTGTTATTCCTTATAAAGATTTACAATTATTTATGGAAACAAATCTAAGTGCAACCTTTTTTTTCACCATATAATCTATAAAACCAATGAAGAGAGACTAGTAACAGGAAAAACTATATAAAAATGATCATATATGTATATAAAACCTATGAAAAGAGACTAATAATAGAAAAAAACTACAAATTACCATATATTCTACATATATAAAACCTATGAAAAGAGAACAAAACTTACAAGTAATAAATATTTGTATATTTATATATATACATTAATTGTAGGTGCATTCCGTTTAGCCCATATTTCATATATATAGATATGGCAAATAATGCAAGCTGTCCATTAGTTTGTAATGATCTATAAAACCATCATGTATAATATAAAACCTATGAATAATAGGAAAAACTGCAAATTTTCTATATATAAAACCTATGAAAAGAGACCGAAAATAGAAAAACAAAACCACAAGAAATAAATATTTGTATGTATACATTGTATAGTTGATATATACACAAATAACATATAAAACAAAACCTTCAAAACGTTTTATTCCTTTTAAAGATATACAAAACAAATATATAAGCGCCTGTATATGTGCTCATGCGTCTTTGCAAGCTTTGGCTTATTAATCCCAAATTGACATTTAAGATCTCAAAAAACATGGCGGCTGGCCATAACCACCATGTTCTTGACTTGTGTCTCTTCCTCACCACAGCCATGGTCCTGTTGCAAAACACCATGGCTTACCCTCTGTCCACGAACTCGAGATGGATCGTGAACGAGGGAGGCCAACGGGTTAAGCTCGCGTGCGTGAACTGGCCGTCGCACCTGCAGCCGGTCGTGGCAGAAGGGCTGAGCCAGCAGCCGGTCACCGAGATAGCCAACAGGATCGTCGCTATGAAGTTCAATTGCGTTAGGCTCACTTGGCCACTTGAGTTAGCCATTAACGACACTTTGGCTAACAGTGTCACCGTCAGGCAATCTTTCCAAAGCCTTGGCTTGAACGATGACATTGATGGTATCCAGAGAAAAAACCCTAATTTTATCGATCTACCCCTCATTGAAGCCTTGAAGTTAAGTACAATATGTATTTATATATAACAAATTAAGGGTATTCGAGTTTTTGGTCTGACTTTTACATGACGTGACGTATTGTTTGATATCGAATCGCTATTTGTTCGTTTCAGACAGTTGTAAATGTATTGGGACAAAAGGGAGTGATGGTAATATTAGACAACCACCTTACAGTGCCGGGATGGTGCTGCAGCGCCGGTGACGGCAACGGCTTCTTCGGCGACAGGTTCTTCGATCCTACGGCCTGGATCAACGGCTGGAAAAAGATGGCCGGAATATTTAACGGCGTTAGTAACGTCATCGGGATGAGTCTACGTAACGAGCTCAGAGGACGAAAGCAGAACGTCAACGATTGGTACACGTAAGTATTGTATAGTTTATCTCTACATATACTCCGTTATTTTTTGCCTATATATCCAATACATATACATATGTGCATAGATACATGCAACAAGGAGCAGAGGCAATCCACTCGGTAAACCCCAACGTACTTGTGATCATGTCCGGATTAGGGTTCGACACTGACCTTTCCTTTGTCCAAAACCGACCCGTCAGCCTATCGTTCGCGGGAAAGCTCGTGTTCGAGCTCCACTGGTACAGCTGGTACGGCGGGATTGATTGGGGGGCAGGTAACGCCTGCGGAAAATTCCGCGACAAAGTTAAGTGGAAGGCGGGTTTCCTTCTGGACAAAGGGTTTCCGTTGTTCGTGAGCGAGTTCGGGATCGATCAGACAACGACGAGTGATAAAGAAAAGAGTTACATCGATTGCTTTTTAGGTTGGATGGCTGAAACTGACGTGGACTGGGCTTTATGGGCGCTTACGGGGAGCTATTACCTGAGAGACGGAGCTCGACGAGCCGATGAGCATTTCGGCGCTCTCACTACCGACTGGATTTTGGCGAGGAATCCCTACTTCTTGGCCAGATTACCCTTTAGGGCACGATCTGCCCTGCGAGGCAAGTAATCTTGCTTTGTCGGTTGCCCCTTTCCTCATATCTTTTATGTGCTCAGAGCATATGAAAAACAAATGCGTATGATGCAATAAATAATAATTATGAAAATTTCACCGCACCAATCTTTCATACGCTGTCTTTAAGAATACAAATAATTTGGACACAAATACTATATCATTCTGGTTTGATCAATGGACTTCCACTGAGACCATTGATCTCTTTTATAGGAGAGAATGGACCACGTATTCTCTGACTACCACGTGATCACTCCATGGTAAAAGACGCGGGGAACAAGACACTTCCAGAGACGAGAACTGATAGTATACAAACTCTTCTTGTCACCCTTGCATCTATTGAACCACACACGAAGAGCAGAGGAGAAGATATCGTGATCAAAGGGCCTACTTTCCCATCCTTACGCACACACCTGGAGATACCTTCGATCAGTCAGCCTTTAATTTTGGTTGATTAGTATGATGTTGTAGGAGACAAATTGTCCACTCCTAGACTTTCCTTTCTCCTTTAGCAGGTGGCGTTGGAACAACTTCCTACAAAGAACCGTATAACGAGATGACATGCAAGAATCAACATTACGTGCGTTCTCTGATCGACATTTGTTTTTTGACTGCACGAACAACAGTGAAGTTTGGAGAAATCTTGCTTCGACCATGCCCGACATCCTACAATGGTTGTGCCACCTGCGACACTAGACATGAAGAAGCAAACAGGCACTATCCAAGCTGATCGTCCATATCGGCGCCGACACGATATGACAGGCCCGAAGACCAGAGCTCGCAGGCTCGAGACAATATCTGCAGACTCTTCTCTCTTTCTTGTATCCACCTGAGTTTTTGTTTTTGGTTACTCTTTGATCTTTTGGCCTTAGCATGAGAATTATACTCATTTTTTAAAGGATAAAGAAACAATCTTGGCTTTTGGTATATAATACAAATTACATTGAAAAACCACAAAAAAAAAATTAAAATGGAAAAAATTCATGACATGATTGTTATTATATATATTTATTGATAGATAAAATTAAATATAAATTTTAGTTAATTTTTACTAATTATATAAAAAAAAATATAACTAATAATACCATTAAAAATAAGTACACCAAATAAAAAACATAATGATATATAAGCCAAATCCGTTACAAAATCAGTGTCCGAGATTGTGTTCATGCATATGTGAATAATATGCTAACAATTGTTTTCGGAAACAAATCAGGTGCGATGCCATCTTTTTATCTTAATTATAATCTATAAAGATTTTTTTATATATATAAGAGACTAAAAATAATAAGATAAAAATGTGTTCGAGATTGTATGTATGCAAACATTACGAGCATATGGCAGGTCGTCACCATGCTCTTGATCCATACTTCCTCTTCATCATAGTATTGGTTCTAACACAAACCACCAAACCGAACACGGCTGATCCTTTGTCGCCAACTCTCTCTCTATTACCAAACAGAAAGCCGAACATTAGCTTACCCTTTGTCCACAAGCTCGAGATGGATCGTGGACGGGAAATTAAGGCGAACGGGTCAAGCTCGCTTGCGTGAGCTGGCCGTCGCACCTCCAGCCGGTGGTGGCTGAGGGGCTGAGCAAGCGGCCGGCGGCCGAAATAGTCGACATGGTTGTCTCAATGGGTTTCAATTGTGTCAGGCTCACTTGGCCACTTGACTTAGCCACTAATGACACTTTGGCTAATAGTGTCACCGTCAGGCAATCTTTCCAAAGCCTTGGCTTAAATGATGATATTGCCGGTATCCAACGGCATAACCCAAAGATTATCGATCTACCTCTCATTGAGGCCTTGAAGTTAAGTACAATATATATGTTTTTTCTTTAATAGCAAAGGGTATTCGAATTTTTGGACCGACTTTATATGATATGGCATATAGTTTGATATCGAATCACTGTTTGTTACGAGGTGTTCTTTCCTCTTGACCAGTTCTTGAATCTTCAATTTGGTTCCAATCGGCAGGATTATCCTCCAACATTTCAAGCAGACCCATAATTTCCAATCCGATTTGAACCTTCTCTTTCCAAAGCACAAAATCGTTCTTATCATCGAACTTTTTGACATCCAATCTCTGTATCAGAACAGCCATCTCTATTCCTTTAGAATAATCTTCGAATTCCAATCTCGATTCTTCACGAATAGCCCTTCTCCCTTAGAACCGGGCTCTGATACCACTTGTACTGTTTCGAGTTGGATTCCACAAGAACTTCACAACTCGACGAAGTAAACGAACAACGAGAATCTCTCATATCTCACTCGAAGAACGAGAATGATTTGAGAACGAAGAATGAACCGATGAAATACAAGATACGACCGAGTTCAGATCGAATAAAGTGTTCGATCCTACGTCTCGGGAAGGGAGAGAGAAGATTACTATGATCAGAGGTTACACGATACAAGAATCTATCAAGGCTCAAGAATGAATTCGTTATTCGGCCAATTACCCAGACCTCTACTTTATATCGCAGAGAAGAAGAAGACTTAATTCCCGCTTATCTGATTTTAGGGTCAAAAGGTCAAAGCTTCTTTTTCAACCTGTCTTTAAGTGATAGTAGTAATAGTTTAGGTGAAGCTGCACATGTAAGGAGAAGTCCAAATATATATATATATATATATATGTGTGTGTGTGTATGTAAGGAGAAGATCAATATAACATTTTGACCAATATTTATATGGTAGAGAAATTCTGTGTAACTAAACATGTTTTTAAAATGTTGTATAGAATTAAAATAAAAGTGAGTTTTATGTTATAAAAAACATTAATAGATAAATAAAATTTTACTGTAGTTAAATTCATTGTGTCTATGTTAAAATACACTTATACAAGGAAGATCTTTATATATAAAAGCACAGTTTCACTTGACGGGAATGACACGTGTCCTCTAATTTAGAATATGAAAGGTTATAAATTAATTCTCAATTAAAATTACACATTCGTTTAATTCTCTATCCATTAATTCATATATATTATGTATTGTATTCCCGATGAGTTTTAAAATGTATTTTCATATCTATATTCATCTTTTTTATTCTGATATGTTTAATTCTCTGTAGCAAAGAACGAAGAGCCAATGGAAATTAAGCTAATTAATCATTAAGTGTCACTAATTGTGGTGTCTATATATATTCAACTTAGATGAACTTAGTATAACGATATATGATCTCCATATGTCTTCCCCAACAAGGAAAGTTATCATGATGGGATATGGCCTTAAACTCTTTCATCCCGTTTTGCCATTTGTTTTTGTTTTTCTTTTGCAGTGGAATGACAATATTGGTCTGAAATTGTATCTTTTTGACAGACAAAATCCAATTCAACAGGGTGCAAAGGTAAAAAAAAAAAAAAAAAAATCTGGCGCAAAACTTCTACCAACTTTTTATTGTAATGATTTCTAATTATTAGGTAGTTTTGTTTGAGTTTATGTTTGTCATTTTGATGTTTATTTTGTAGGGTATTCTGTGTCAATATCAAATAGTGATAACACAAACCTGAGGCTTTGGAAGGCCAAAGCCTCCGATCAACTCGGTGTTGTAAGAATCTCTCTGCTTGCTCTCTTGCTCATAAAAAATCTATATTCTTCGGGAATAGGAAGAAGAGAAACCCTCCTGGAACTGCTGACTGATGATGAGATGATATCGAAGAACAACACAAGGGATTCAGATTCTCCGCAAATACAACACACCAAAATGGGAGCTTGTAAGTATATATATATATGATGGATAAACACATGTACACATATTGAAAAATAAAATGCGGAAATTAACTTACAAAAAAAAGAACAAAAAAGAAAAGAACGAGAATACTTTTATTGCTACATCTCTTCTTTCTTCTTGCATTACAATAAAAATAATCCATACATTTATAGGAAAAGTTATTGAAAGAAACAAGGAAATAAAGATACGAAAGAAATAAATAAGGCAAAATATAATTGACACGATATATATTTTATTCTTAATTGATATAATGCCTTTAATTATTATCAATCATATCAAATCTCCATATTTTGTTTCTATTTCAACATTCTCCCTCAATATTGATTTTGAAAGAATTCAAAAATCAATCTTGAAGATAAAACAAAATGATGAAAAACTTCATTGTTATTAGAACAATCCATAGACACCAAATTTCATTCATTTAGAGAGTACTAACCTTTTTCAAATCACTTCGCTTAACTTTAAAGTTCTAGCTTTAACTCTTTTTGTTATAGCATCTTGCTTGATGTTAGAGTTTTAGCTTTGACTTTTTTTGTCATAGCACATCGTTTGAATCTGGTTTTTTATTCCCCTTTGAACGATTTGGATATATGAATATCCAAAACGCAAATGAAAGAAGAGATTAGAAAATTAGAAAAAGAGAAACATATAGTCCAGATCGCAACCAGGCTTTGATACCATGTAGAAAAATAAAATGCGGAAACATAATAAGACAAACGAAAATAAACGGAATTACTTTATTGCTACATCTCTTCTTCTTCTTGTTTTATTACAATGAAAATAACTCACATATTTATAGAAAAATTAACAAATAAAATAAAAGGAAATATAGATATAACGGAAATAAATATGATTCACAATATTTAACATAATATTGTGTTCCTCCAAAATCTAGATTTTCCTCCAACCACATATTCATTTTCCTACTTCAACACCTATATGTTATATATTATATGCACATGCATCAATAGACATAATTCGATGTTCGATTTGTTCTGGAGAGGACAAATGCTCTTTTGGAGATCAAGTGGAGGAGTAATTAAGGATACATATGTAAATTCATGTGTCGTTTTGTGGGATTCACACACAGTAGCAAAATTTGTTCAAAGGGATTTATTTTTGTTTTTGTTTTATTTTTACTACTGCGTGTTAACCTATATTGTTAATAGGGACATGATTCGAGATTACGTTCACCACAACTATTGCAGTCCAACTTAAGATTCAGTTCTCCCGGTCAATAAATTTGCTCCAAATCAAGTATAGGTTGAAAAGTTTGGATGTTCTAGATATTTTATTTATACATTACATGACCTTCATATACATATAAATATATTTATATACACACACGATAAACATTAAA